AAATCCGCAGGATCTCAACCTGTTAGTAGTACTTGATACCACAGAGGTTTCCTGCTCTGATACCAAATGAAAGTTCAGAGACACGCAAATAAGAACCGTACACAAGTTATTCAAGAACACTTCTTGTATATTAGAAACCTTTTAAACAATCTTCCTAGATCTGTTTAATCCGATTTAAGCTCAGTCACACACGACTAGCTACGGACCAGTTCCTAATCTCTAAGTTACAGAAACCCAAGCCAAAACCCTGTTTTCTTGATCTCTGTAGCCGACAAGAACAACTCTCTTGCTCTAGCTTTTTCTCTCTTAACGCTTAACCTAAAACCCTCTTAGGTTGCCTCGTTAAGTAGGCATGAAAAAGACAATATTCTATTTCCTAAAATATCGCCAACCAGAAGATCTTCTTTGCTTCGCACCCAAGTAATATCTTCTATTTCCATAAGTTTACGCCACGTCATTACACGTACCAAACTTATTAATCATCACACTGTGTAACACACTCTCATCTTAACCGGAACACGCTCACAAACCTTGAGCTTACAAAGACTACTCTAATTTAATTGTTTCGATGATATAGAGCAACAAATCAGGATACTGGGCATAGCCGTATAGGACATTGGCGCCCAAAAAATGCCTTTCGAGAGGTCAAAGAGCTTTCGAAATAAACATTTTAAACATGAGCAAACTTCAAAACCAAGGAAATTAATTATTAAAAACAAAAACAAAAAAATCTCCCTGTTACTGTATTTGACAGCCAAAATCACGTGAAAATAAAGCAGTCATATTAAAAATGTTTCAGCCACTTGTGAGTCTTAATAAGAACACAACAACAAACAAAACACACAGAGCAGAAAAAGACATTCTGAATTCTTCTTGACCCAACACTATTATAAACATCTTCAAATTCAGTTTCCCAAAACCCCTAAGAAAATTCTGCAAAAACCAGCAGACAAACCAAGAACACCAAAGATAGACAAAAAAAAAAAAAAGTCAGACAAGACAAAGCAAAACCCTCTTTGTCCAAACGAACCAACCCTTTCCATATATACACAAACCCAACACAAAAAAAACATAACCCATTCAAGAAAAAGAAAGCTTGAAGAACAATCAAACACACACAAAAAAAGAATGATTCTCTCTACTTCCATGTTTACCTCTCTCACACCATACATACTCTCAGCATTACTTCTCTTCCTCCTCCTCGAACAACTCTCTTACCTAATCAAGAAACGTAACCTCCCTGGCCCTCTCTTCGTCCCTCCCATCATCGGCAACGCCGTCTCACTCGTCCGTGACCCCACTTCCTTCTGGCACAAGCAATCATCAACCGCGGGAAACTCTCCAGGCCTCTCAGCCAACTACCTCGTAGGGAGATTCATCCTCTACATCAGAGACACAGACCTCTCACACCAAATCTTCTCCAACGTCCGCCCCGACGCCTTCCACCTCGTCGGACATCCCTTCGGCAAGAAACTCTTCGGTGATCACAACCTCATCTACATGTTCGGTGAAGATCACAAATCAGTTCGCCGACAACTCGCTCCCAACTTCACACCTAAAGCACTCTCAACCTACACTACTCTCCAGCAGCTAGTCATCCTCCGTCATCTACGCCGATGGGAGGAATCTTCCTCCGGTCCAATCTCGCTGCGAAACCTCGTCCGTGAACTTAACCTAGAAACCTCTCAGACAGTTTTTGTCGGACCGTATCTTGACAAAGAAGCAAGAGACAGTTTCCGCAAAGATTACAACCTCTTCAACCTCGGATCCATGGCTCTTCCTGTAGACCTCCCACGGTTTGCGTTCGGCGAAGCTCGCCGCGCCGTGAGGAGGCTAACGGAGACTCTCGCCGTCTGCGCGGGAAAGTCAAAAGCAAGGATGTCGGCGGCAGGGGAGAAGGAGGAGAAGCCAACGTGTCTTATAGACTTCTGGATGCAAGCGATCGTCGACTCCGGTAATCCTCCGCCGCCGCACTCCTCCGACGAAGAGATTGGCGGTTTCCTCTTCGACTTTCTCTTCGCCGCGCAAGACGCCTCCACGTCATCGCTTCTCTGGGCGGTTGCTCTGTTGGATTCTCATCGAGAGGTTCTTAGGAGAGTGAGAGAAGAAGTGGAGAGGATATGGTCTCACGACTCCAACGCGTTGATCACCGTGGAGCAGCTCGCGGAGATGAAGTACACGCGCTCGGTAGCGCGTGAGGTCGTTAGGTTTCGTCCACCCGCGACGATGGTCCCACACGTCGCTGCAGAAGACTTCGCTCTCACGTCAACGTACACTGTCCCGAAAGGTACCATCGTGTTTCCCTCGGTTTACGATTCTTCGTTCCAAGGGTTTAATGAACCGGACCGGTTCGATCCGGATCGGTTTAGCGAGACGAGGAAAGAGGATGTTGTGTTTAAACGGAATTTCTTGGCGTTTGGGTGGGGTCCGCACCAGTGCGTGGGGCAGAGATATGCGTTGAACCATCTTGTGCTATTTATAGCGATGGTTTCGTCGCTGTTGGATTTCGAGAGGGTTAGATCGGACGGGTGTGATGAGATCGTGTATTGTCCCACGATATCGCCTAAGGATGGGTGTACGGTGGTCTTGTCTCGCCGCGTTGCAGCGTATCCCAACCTTTCGTTGAATTGATTTTTGAATATTCTGTTTTGTAATTTTTTTGTGTGTGGTCAGGAGTCAAGTGTGATTTTTATGATTGTTGGTGATGTGTCTCTCGAAGTGAGAGGCCCTTTCAAGTGTTTTATTGAAATTTGATAGGAGATGTCATTGTTTGACATATCTTCAAGATTAATTAATCTGTGTTTTATCATGTTGAAATTTTTAACGTGTTTTGTGTGTTTCCAAAGTTCACTTTTGTGTCAACTTCATCGGATGTTTTGGAATGGACTATTTACTTCCATTGTTTTTTTTTGGGTCAACACTTGGATAGTTCATATTATGCTTTTTAATATTGAAGAAACAACAAGGCCTGTGACGTTTAGGTCCTATATACAGTTTTGATCCAGATGATGGGCAAAACAACATACTGTCTTGGATACATTCAGGCAGTATATGGATTTTGAACGTTCGTCTTCCTACAACAAGTTATTTGAACATAAGTAAACATTTTAGGGTTTTTTTTTTCTAAATACAAATAATAGGAAAAAAGGATTATACATTGACAGAGTGAAAAAAACGCAAATAGAGATTCACATATACCAAACTTTAATCCTTGACTTCGACGAAGAAACAAAGTTTTAAACCATTCAAATCTGACACCCTTAATTAATGCAAATGAATTGTGTTTATATACATATCACAAAAACTAGCCCGGAACACATATTCATTGTTCAATACTATGAAATTAGCCAAACTCTGGGTGGGTTTAAGAAGTTGTTTAGGTAGCGGCCCATTGGGCTTTATAATATCAATATGCCCATTAGGGTTTCTGTATACACTCATTTATAAACACAACAAGGAACCCTAAACTCCTTCCTGATTCCACCGCACGGCCTCCCTCGAGACGAAAATGGGTGCCTTCAGGGTAAGCTCTCTCTTTGATCCCCTTCTCTATCTCAAACATCTCCATTGCTACTGTATCATGCTATTGTCTCACTCAAATCTAATCTCATCTTATGTCTTTTTCATTGCCAGTTTCACCAGTACCAGGTTGTCGGAAGAGCTCTCCCGACAGAGAAAGATGTCCAACCCAAGATTTACCGTATGAAACTCTGGGCCACCAACGAGGTCCGTGCCAAGTCCAAGTTCTGGTTAGTAAAATGCTTCAACCCCTCTTCTTGACTCTTTACACATCGTCTTGGTCTCTTGAGCTATAATAAGTTGAAAAAATCTTAATTAGGTACTTCTTGAGGAAGCTCAAGAAGGTCAAGAAGAGTAACGGTCAGATGCTCGCCATCAACGAGGTACATATACTTTACTAAACAATCTGAACAAATGTTAGGTTTAATCATTGTGTTAGGAAACGTTTTGAGTGGTTATTTGTTTGCTAAGTTAGGGTTTGTTTTTTTAGATCTTTGAGAAGAACCCGACAACAATCAAGAACTTTGGAATCTGGTTAAGGTACCAGAGCAGAACTGGTTACCACAACATGTACAAGGAGTTCCGTGACACCACCTTAAACGGTGCCGTTGAGCAGATGTACACTGAGATGGCGTCACGTCACCGTGTCAGGTTCCCTTGTATTCAGATCATCAAGACAGCTACTGTCCCAGCGGCGTTGTGCAAGAGAGAGAGCACGAAGCAGTTTCACAATAGCAAGATCAAGTTCCCTTTGGTCTACAGGAAGGTTAGACCTCCCACCCGGAAGCTCAAGACCACTTACAAGGCCTCAAAGCCCAACTTGTTCATGTAATTGGGTCTCTCTGATCGTGTGATGAAGTTGTCCTATCTGCTGCTTTCTTTTTCTGAGGATATTTTTGTTTATTTTAGGCGTTTCCATGGATCTCTAAACTCGACCTTTTTTGGATTTTGTGGTTTTTTATTTCTTCTTGCTTATGAAAAACACTTCTTGTTTCTCAAATTAAAATCTTTGAATTTCCTTATTTTAAATTGTTTATTAAACATTTAACCAATGGCTCACACTATCAGATATCTATTTCAAAAACTAATGAAAATACTTTACTACTTCAGTTTCAGTATAATTGTCGTTCTATGACAATTTTTTTGTCACAAATAAAGTGTCGTTTTCGAGTTTGGAGAAAAAATTTATTAGTTTTATATAATATTTTATTTTCTATTGGTTGAAAATTGGTTAAGTATATAGGTAATTGTGTTTTTATAAAATATATAAATTAAATATTTTTCTTAACATGTGTGAAAAAACGTAGAATGACAATTAAATTGAAACAGTTTTATATAATATTTTATTTTTCTATTGGTTGAAAAGTGATTAAGTATATAGGTAATTGTGTTTTTACCTTGAAAATATATAAAATTAAATGTTTTCCTTAACATGTGTGAAAAAACGTAGAATGACAATTAAACTGAAACGGATGGAGTATAAACTATGGTTTGTAAAAAAAAAAACAGTATTTCAAAATTCAACTAGAATAAAAACATAATAATAATACATTCAAAAGATTAATTTAGAGCCTATCAATCTCATCATCACCAAACTCAAAATAGTCATCACCAGGTTCAACGTGATCGTCAACCTCAAACACACCAGCAACACCTTCGTTAAGACGAAGGTCACGAGGGAGCTCATCACAACTCTTGAGAAAACGAGCTTCGTCAGGAGTATACTTATGGATGATGTCAGCTTTGGTGTCATTGTCCATATCCATCCTTAGTCCCACAAGAATAATGTCACCAGCGCTAATCCAAACCTTCTTATGCATCTTACCTCTGATGTGACACATCCTTGTGTTTCCGTCTATGCACTTGGCTTCACACCGTCCGTTTCCGCACATGCGGAGGACTATAGCGTATTCTTGACCGTGTTCTTTGAAGATGATCTCTCGTTTATCGTCTTCTGCTTCTTTTTTGCCTCTCTTTATGTTCTTTCCTCCTTTACCTTTGTTCTTCGGCATGATTTTAAAACCTAAAGTTTTAAAGAGGTTGGCTTGGATATGAACTTGCTGTTGCTCTCTTTGTCTTTATTGCTTTGTGATTATTTGTGGGAGGACGTCTTCCTTATATAGCTAAAGACATGCTTCGTTATTTCCTTTTCACTTGAAATCTACTTTTTCCTTTTTTCTCTCGTCTTTCACTTTAAAAAGTAAAAAGAGATTCCTTTTTCTAGTGAACTTTAGATTCTCCCGTTTGGCTTAAAGCTTGCGAAGCAAGCAATATCAAATCTTTGCCGACTCAATTGTCAATTATCTTAATTACTAGGTGATTTTCCCGTGCTCATGCACGGACATAAATTTTTATAAAATAAATATATTATAATAATTTATTAATACTTACTTTAAATTTTAAATTAATTTATAATTTTTAGGTATATTTATATTAATAATATTATATTATTTTAATTATATATATATATATATATATAATTTTAGATATGTTATATTTCATTAGTTTTGTCGTTTTTACGGTTGATTTAATTATCATTTGGATATATTATATTCTATCTATTTCTCTGAATTCAACTATATTTTCTTTATCCTAAATCTATTATTTTAATTTTCTTATTTGCATTTATGCCGGTTGTTATCTTAGAAATATAAGTATATCTAGTAATATTATGTATAACTTAAGATTTTTGTGCTTAAAGAGACAAAAATAAAAACTAAACTATATTACATACATAAGTAACTAAAGTTTTTTTGGAAGCTTATGAACACATATCAATATTTATAATATTTAGATTGATGGGATCGTAAACCGAAATTTATTTTAAATAATTTTAAAAATAAAAATTTTGATTTGCTTAAGTATTTTGATTATGGTTATATTAAGTTCCACAAACATAAAAACATTAAATTCAAAATCAAAGGAGTTATTAAGAAAACATATAATTTTAACTATTAAAATATAATATATCTACTTCGTTAAATTATACTTTTATGATTTTTTAAAATAATTATAGTTATTTGACAAGAAAAAATTATTATTAAAATTTATTTTTAGTTTTTTTTTAATATCTTTAAAAATATGCAGTAAAAATGTTATTGTTTTTGAGAAATGATATTATATAAGTCAAATATTGCTGTAATTGTAAGATATTATAGTCAAATAAATATACTAAAATATATATATATATATATATATATATATTTCAAGAATACTAATTATAAAACGAAATTTGTCAATTAAACATATATCAGTTTATGTTACTTAATTATTTTATGTAATCATTTAGTAAAATAGATAGATATATAAAAAATTAATTACTATAAAAATATATATATATATATATATATATTTATTGTTTAAAATTATTTTTTAAAAATAAAAAAAAATATTTGTTTTTCTAATATCTAGATTAGTTGTGTGAGTTTTTTTTGTGTAATCACATTATATAAAGTAGATATAGATATAAAGTATTTTATTACTTCAAAAGTATATTTTATGTTATTTAAAATATATTTAAATTAAATATTACTATTTTGTGAACTTTCCTTTTTTTGTGAATCCCTATTTTTATTTTCGTTTGTAAATAGTTTTTTAAACTTTATAAATGTTTCTTTTTTATTTTATATTGTTATTTGGAAAAAATTTAAAAGGAAATAATAATATTTAAAAGTATTTTTTCAATTCATTAAGGGTATCATAGTAATCAACCAACGTGAGACTTAACGTGAGCGCGACACATAAGAAAGTGACTTCTCAAATAATATTGTAGAGATATAATATATTTACTTCGTTAAATTATAGTTTTATGTTTTTCTAAAATAGTTATAGTTATTTGATAAGAAAAAATTATTATTAAAATTTATTTTTAGTTTTGTTTTAATATCTTTAAAAATATGCAGTAAAAATGTTATTGTTTTTGAGAAATGATATTATATAAGTCAAATAGAATTTATATTTTTTGCTGTAATTGTAAGATATTATAGTCAAATCTCTATAATATTATTTGAGAAGTCAGTTTCCTACGTGTCGCGCTCACGTTAACTCTCGTGATGGTTGATTACATAGATACCCTTAATGAATTGTTAGATTTTAAGATTATTATTTTTTATTTAGTTTCTTTTTTACCTTTTTCCAAATAACATATATAATAAAAAGGAAATATTTCTAAAATTTTAAAACAAAATTAAAAATGAAAATATATGTATATATGACTTTATTAAAAAGGAAAGTTCACAAAATAGTAATACCCTCCATTAATATATAGTTTTAAATAACATAAAATATATTTTCAAAATAATAAAAATATATATGTTCATNTTTTTTACCTTTTTCCAAATAACATATATAATAAAAAGGAAATATTTCTAAAATTTTAAAACAAAATTAAAAATGAAAATATATGTATATATGACTTTATTAAAAAGGAAAGTTCACAAAATAGTAATACCCTCCATTAATATATAGTTTTAAATAACATAAAATATATTTTCAAAATAATAAAAATATATATGTTCATGAACATCCAAAAATTTATCAGTTACACTTTATTATCTAATATTTTTTAGAAATCAACATATAATTTGATAAATATTATAAATATACATGCATATTTAAGCGATAAATAAAACTATTTTGATTTGACTTAACTAAAATAAAGAGTAAATAAATATTATGAAAATACATGTATATTTAAGCGATAAATAAAACTAATTTGATTTGACTTAATTAAAATAAAAAGTAATTATACTTCAATTTTAATTTAAGAATATATTAACTCTATATACTCACAAAATGAATGACTCGACTAATCTAATTTATATCCAAAATTAAACATTTAACCACAATAAGAACATATAATTTTATAAAAAATAGTAATCTATTTAATTTTATACATATAAATTAGAGGTTGACTCAAAGCATATTAAAAAGAAAATATTAAATAATTACAATTTAGTTCTTTTTAGAATTTATATATATGCATGAGACTTCAAAATATTATCATTATATTCTTTTATGTAATTTTTAATCAAACAATTCAGCTTATTATTTATTTCATTTTAAGCACAAATATATATTAAGTTATACATAATTTAACTAAAATATATTTACATATCTAAGAATATGTTTACATATCTAAAGACAATAACCAACCCAAATGAAAATAAAAATTAATAAGTTTTATTATATTTAGAATAAGAAACATTATAGTTGAATTCGATAAATAGATATTATCCAATATACCAAATTGATAACCAAACCGACTATTATTTTACCGACAATAATATATCCAAAGTCATATGTATAATTATAATAATATACTATTTATTAATATAAGTTATACATATAAATTGATTCAAAACTAAAACTAAGTATCATTCAATTATTATAAATTAATTTTATGAATATTCATANATTCGATAAATAGATATTATCCAATATACCAAATTGATAACCAAACCGACTATTATTTTACCGACAATAATATATCCAAAGTCATATGTATAATTATAATAATATACTATTTATTAATATAAGTTATACATATAAATTGATTCAAAACTAAAACTAAGTATCATTCAATTATTATAAATTAATTTTATGAATATTCATACCCGTGCATGAGCACGGGAAAATCACCTAGTAAATATACTAAAATATATATATATATATATATATATATATATATATATATATATATATATATATTTCAAGAATACTAATTATAAAACGAAATTTGTCAATTAAACATATATCAGTTTATGTTACTTAATTATTTTATGTAATCATTTAGTAAAATAGATAGATATATAAAAAAAGTAATTACTATAAAAATATATATATTTATTGTTTAAAATTATTTTTTAAAAATAAAAAAAAAAATATTTGTTTTTCTAATATCTAGATTAGTTGTGTGAGTTTTTTTTTGTGTAATCACATTATATAAAGTAGATATAGATATAAAGTATTTTATTACTTCAAAGTATATTTTATGTTATTTAAAATATATTTAAATTAAATATTACTATTTTGTGAACTTTCCTTTTTTTGTGAAACCATATTTTTATTTTCGTTTTTAAATAGTTTTTTAAACTTTGTAAATGTTTCCTTTTTATTTTATATTGTTATTTGGAAAAATTTTAAAAGGAAATAATAATATTTAAATGTATTTTTTCAATTCATTAAGGGTATCATAGTAATCAACCAACGTGAGACTTAACGTGAGCGTGACACATAAGAAAATGACTTCTCAAATAATATTATAGAGATAGTTCTTTTTATTCCCTTAAAACACAACACATACATAATAGTTAGGACTTCAATTTGGTTGATTAACATAGTTAGTTGGATGTTTCTCATGTGTTCTCCAAGCCATCCAAATTCTTGGAATGACCAAACATGAAAAGTGGGACTACCTATGGGAATGTAAAATCAAAAACTAACCTCAAAAACTAGATCCAAGAACTCAATTTTTTTTTTTATAGTTTCCGCTATATTCGACGATGATACTGTCCTGAAAAAGACCGTAAGAGACAGCCAGACAGGATCAGAGTTTTGCAAGTCCCTCGAGTTATGAATATAGCCATCTTGAACCTATACATGTCCGAATGTTCTTTTAGATCTACTTCCTTGTCGGAAAATACGAAATCTACTATCTCTATGTAGATGTTCTCCTTAATTAATTAATTGTTTGGAGATGAGTAAAAGTTGTTGGACTGTAAGCAATATTAATCCTGCGCACTAGTTGATCCATCAATATTATCAAATCTAATAAATATTTCATAACATTGGAAGTTTTTACATCACATTTTCAAGATTCAACAAACCGGATACACACAACACGATCACAAATTAAACTCATTTTCCAGGGACGAAGTTGGTGGCAAAGGCCCATGCGTTGTTGTTAACAGGATCAGCCAAATGGTCAGCAAGATTCTCCAACGGTCCCTTTCCAGTGACAATAGCCTGAACAAAGAATCCAAACATAGAGAACATAGCCAACCTTCCATTCTTGATCTCCTTCACCTTCAACTCCGCGAAAGCCTCTGGGTCAGTAGCAAGGCCCAATGGATCAAAGCTACCTCCTGGGTACAACAAGTCCTCCGCTTCTCCCAATGGTCCATCTCCAGCGACTCTGTAACCCTCAACAGCTCCCATGAGAATCACCTGAGTGGCCCAAATGGCTAAGATGCTCTGAGCATGAACCAAGCTAGGGTTGCCCAAGTAGTCAAGCCCTCCTTCACTGAAGATCTGTGAGCCAGCCTTGAACCAGACCGCTTCTCCGAATTTAACTCCATTACGAGCCAATAGCTCAGGGAAAACACAACCTAGGGCTCCAAGCATGGCCCATCTGCAGTGGATAACTTCTAGCTCACGGTTCCTGGCAAAAGTCTCGGGGTCAGCTGATAGACCAGCTGTATCCCATCCGTAGTCACCTGGGAACTCTCCAGTGAGGTAACTCGGTGGCTCTCCGGAGAATGGACCCAAGTACTTGACCCGGTCGGATCCATACCATGGACTACCAGATGGACCAGTGGGTTTTTTGACGGTTTTACGCATGGTGACTCGGCCGGTTCCAAAGACTTCAGAGGTCGCAGGAGTTAGCTTCACGGCTTTTCCAGCCAAAGCGGGAGAGGAGAGAGCCATTGATGAGGCAGCCATTACTGTTAGAGTGTGGTGCAAGTAAAAGGTTTTTAATAGAATTTGTGATGAATTGGATTGTTTGGTTACGGTGAAGTCTTCATTTATTTATAATCTGAAAGCTAATGGTTACACCTTCAAGATTCATTTTTTGCTTATCTCGTGATATAAGTATCTTGATTTCTATTGGTTGGAGGTTAGAGCATCTCCATTAGTGAACCCCTCTTGGGGTTCATATTTTTAATTTTTTATTATTTTTTTTGTACTGAAAAAAAATTAATCGAACCAATGGATGGTCAACACGTGTCGTGAACAGTGTTGAACCCGTTGGACAGAGGTTCACCGGGAAGAGCTCGAAAGAGATGGGATTCAACACTATTTATTATTTTAATATTTTTTTTTCTGGAAAAGTGTGTGAACCCCATGGGGGGTTCACTAATGGAGATGCCCTTAGATTTTTCTTGTCTTGCTGAGCTAGCATTGGTCCCATTAGATATCTTGTAGAGTGTCAGCAATATTAGAGTACCCATTGATAATCTGCCACGTGTAAATCTGACAGAGTTCTATCCGTTTGAATCGTATCAGTATCAAAAGGTTGTTCAAAAAAGATATCATTTATTTGTGGCGATTTAATCAAAAATCTGATAGTGTACAAGTTACAAGTGTTATCCATTGCAGCTAAAGAATCTACGCAGAAGCTGGTGGTGTAGAGAGTTACACATAGGATAACAAGTAGACCAATCCAAAATCTCATAGACCAATAAGAAAACAGATTCGGATACTTAACAGATAACAAACCTTACTCCTTAGACTTGTATAAAACAGATCTATACCCCAACCATTTTCAATCACTCTCACCGGTCATAAAAAAAACATAAAAACAAAAAAGAAGAGAAATTGTAATGGCTGCCTCAACCATGGCTCTGTCCTCCCCTGCCTTAGCCGGAAAGGCTGTGAAACTCTCACCAGGAGCCTCCGAAGTCTTTGGAACCGGACGTGTCACCATGCGCAAAACCGTCAAAAAACCAACTGGTCCATCAGGCAGCCCATGGTACGGATCCGACAGGGTTAAGTACTTGGGTCCATTCTCCGGCGAGCCTCCAAGCTACCTCACTGGAGAGTTCCCTGGCGACTATGGATGGGACACAGCTGGTCTATCCGCTGACCCCGAGACCTTTGCCAGGAACCGTGAGCTAGAAGTTATCCACTGCAGATGGGCCATGCTTGGAGCCCTAGGTTGTGTTTTCCCTGAGCTCTTGGCTCGTAACGGAGTGAAGTTCGGAGAAGCTGTTTGGTTCAAGGCTGGCTCACAGATCTTCAGCGAAGGAGGGCTTGACTACTTGGGTAACCCTAGCTTGGTCCATGCTCAGAGCATCTTAGCTATTTGGGCTACTCAGGTGATTCTTATGGGAGCTGTTGAGGGTTACAGAGTCGCTGGAGACGGACCATTGGGAGAAGCTGAGGACTTGTTGTACCCAGGTGGCAGCTTTGACCCATTGGGTCTAGCTACTGACCCAGAGGCTTTCGCAGAGTTGAAGGTGAAGGAGATCAAGAACGGAAGGTTGGCTATGTTCTCTATGTTTGGATTCTTCGTTCAGGCCATTGTTACAGGAAAGGGACCTTTGGAGAATCTTGCTGACCATTTGGCTGATCCAGTTAACAACAACGCATGGGCCTTTGCCACCAACTTCGTCCCTGGAAAGTGAGCAGCTTATTATTATGTGAGTGAGAGCAGAGAAAGAGAGTTTGTTTGTGATGTTTCCTAAGTAAATTTGTGAAATTTCCATCGTCGTATCATTGTATGATTTATCAGAAACCAAACCTCCTTTTCTCAACTCTGTTGGCGTTGTAACAAAAGACTCTCAAGTGAAATGAATGATCTGTTCTTATAAAAAAGTTCACGCAATTGCAGAGGATGTATATATGTTCTGTATTTTGTGACAAATTGTAGCAGTACAGCCGAACAAAAAGGCAAATGAAACTATATAATGAAAAACTCATGGCAAAACTACAGCAGAAAAGAAAGAAGCGGGTTGAAGTCCTATGATGCTTCACTTTCAACACTTCTGAAACTTCTCTGGTTCTAATTGGACCAAAGGTTCTTCATTCGGCAAGCTTCAGAAATAACTGATTCCCGATAACAAATCTCTATTCTCGATATGAGTCGCGTGTTGTAACTATTTAACAAGTTTGAGATAGAAACCTCTTTGAGATTCATGTTTTCAACATGTTTATAGTCCCTCCTGTAAATGAAAAGTTGGTTCTAGTGTGTATCTCTTCCTAAGGAGCATTCTAAATATCATCATCGCTGCAATGGACTAGGAGTAGTACAAGGACTTACATGGCTAGTGTGGGATCTGGAGACGAATGAGAGCGGTTAAATATAAACAGAATGGAATAGCAGCTCCAGCGAGGACATTATGGAGCAGCCTCTCGTCATCCTTTGTGGGTATGAAAACAAACTCCCACGGGAAAATCAAACCTTTCCTTCGTCATCTCCTCTACCAACAAACCCAACAACGACCCAACATCTTCCCTGCCACACTGTAAAACATCGCTTCCGGCATTAAACTCCATCATCTCACCCTCCATCTCAATCCAGCTACATCCTGGTGTCTTAACAACGCCTCTTTCTCTCATAGCCACCCTCATCTCCGCACATTTATCCCACATCTTCATCTCAGCATACACCTTCGAAGACACAACATAATTCCCAGCGTTCCTCACCTCCTCCATCCCCATCAACATCTTCATCGCCTTCCCTCCAACCACAACATCTTTCCTCTTATGACATGCTCCAAGAATCGCTCCCAACATGATCTCATCTGGCTTCCCAGGAAACTTCTCCATGAACTCCCACGCCTCGTTTAACATCCCCGCACGAGACAGGAGATCGATCACGTTTGTGTAATGCTCGATCTTCGGGACCAACCCGAACGAAGAACTCATTTCATTGAAATACCTACGCCCCTCATCGACCAAACCCGCGTGCACACAAGCAGAGAGCACTCCCACGAATGTAACATCACTTGGAGGAACTGACATTTGATCAAACAGTAAAAGAGCTTCTTGAGCGTGTCCATGATGCGCGTAGGTAGAGATCATAGCGTTCCAAGTGGCTTCGTTTTTCACCGGCATGGATTCAAACACTCTAAGAGCTTCCGCTATGCTTCCACACTTCCCGTACATATCGACTAATCCTGTAGCCACATAGATGTTATGCTGCAAACCTGTTTCTATCGCATATGACTCAATCCTTTTCCCTAACTCAAGAGCTCCAACTGAACCACAAGCAGACAGCACCGTAGACAATGTAACAGCATCCGGAGAAACTCTTGAATCTTCCATCTCACGAAACAGCTTAATAGCTTCCATTGACCTCCCATTCTGCGAGTACCTGAGATACGGAATCCAGTTTTATCAACGGGTTATAAAGTTCCAAACTTTATATGAAAACAGTACACTTACACAGTAATCATAGCATTCCAAGCAACACGCTCCTTCTTAACCATCTGATTAAAAACCCTTCTCGCCGCATCCAAATCTCCACATTTGCCATACATACTAATCAACTTAGGCCCAAGAAACACACTTAAACCAATCTTCTTCCTCCTCGCTATCTCCTCCACCAACCCACCAGTTTCCAAATCACCCAAACATGCACAAGCACCCAACACACTCACCAACGTCCTCTCATCCATCTCAACACCTTCCTCCACCATCCTCCTAAACAAACCCACAGCCTCTCCCCCTTTACCCGCAAGACAACACCCAGCAATCATCGAGTTCCACGACACCAAATCCTTCTCAGTAATTTCGTCGAACACCTTCCGTGCACACTCAACAAACCCACACTTCGCGTACATACCGATCAACGAATGATTCACATGATCGTCTCTTTCTAACCCGACTTTGAACACCGAAGAATGAACAGATCTACCGACTCTAATCTCCGTTAGATTCCCACACGCGACGAAAACGAAATTGTAAGTGAAGTTGTCCGGTTTTAAATTAGAAAACTTCATGCGGCGGTATAACGAGAGAGCGGCGTTATGATCGTGCCACGTGTTGGTTAATCCACGGATCATGAAGTTGAAGGAGTAGTGGTTTGGTTGTTGGGTTGTGGAGAAGAGGAGAGAGGCGTGAGTGAAGTCTCCGAGCTCGACGGTTTTGGGGATTAGGAAATTTGGTTTGTTGATGGAGTTTAGTAGCATCTGGGCTTGGATCTGTCGGAGTTGGTTCACGGAGACGCATTTTTTTAGCAGGAGGAGAAGGTCTCCGACGAGATCCCGTCGTGGTTTGAGTGATTGGAATTGGCGGGAAAGGGAGGATGCTAGTTTCTCTGGTTTGAGCATTTGAAAAGGTCAGAAGAGAGGCACACGTGTGAGAATTGAGTTTAAAATAGTGCGTGGGTCGGATTCGGATTCAGAGTCGGGTTTACTAAACCCGGTTTAGGTACTGATACGGTTAATATGATAACATGTTTTACATAACTAATACAATAATCATACTTTTAATCTACTAATTTTTTTTGGAATCAATCAAATTAGTATTAAAAACAACCGTTTTAAATTCAAACTGCTGTGATTCAGTATGATGTTTTTTTTAATTGGGTTGAATTAGTTAAATTGGCTACCAGTGATTTATGTAATTAGGTTTGAGCGGTTTGATTTTTTTGATTATTGAGTGACCAAATTTAGATATTCCATCAGTTGTTTCAGCGACAGATATAAATGGTTATGATGTTAGCTGCATAATAGAAATTAATATATTGATTGATATTGGTTACTGATAGGGTAAGCTAACAGTCATTTTGTTTATATTCTATCGTCAATTTGGCTCATGTAGTTTCCTAAACTAACAAAGTCACCAGGCAAACAAAAACTGGATTTGGCTTTGCTTTAACATAAAGTATCATATCCATTTGGCTTTGCTTCGACCTGTGTCTTATGCTCTACAAAACCATCTGCAATTCAGCAGTATTCACCTTTTATTTATTAAAAAGATACAAACCTCCAATAATAAACTATGATTTTGCTCTAGCAAGTTGCTAAAAAGCAAACTTTGACTTTTTATTCACTTTATTCTCATCCTGCTATTGTTTTGGTAACAAACTATAAAAGGGCAGAACCTCATCACAATCTCTCAACACACAAAAAATTCAAACATCAATCAAAGCCTTATACTCTCCTCTAAAATAAATCATATGGATGACATATCAGTAAGCAAAAGTAACCATGGAGATGTTGTACTCAACATCCAAGCTCCTCCTGTTTCAAAAACTTCACTTCCATCTCCACCACTGTTATCTGTTCACTTCTTGCAAAAGGTTAGTTCTGTTTTTTCACAATCCATCGAGCAAAAACTTCTTAATTCACACTTCTTGTCTTCTTCTCTGTACCCCTTTTCAAGTTTTCGTGTTCACTTAATCTGCAGCTTATAGCAGAGCTCGTGGGAACTTACTATTTGATATTTGCGGGCTGTGCCGCTATTGCCGTGAACGCTCAACACAACAATGTAGTGACTCTTGTGGGCATTGCAGTGGTTTGGGGTCTAGTGGTAATGGTTCTTGTTTACTCTCTTGGCCACATCTCTGCACACTTCAATCCAGCTGTCACTATAGCCTTGGCATCTTGCAAGAGATTCCCTCTGTATCAACTCCCAGCCTACATAACTGTTCAAGTCATTGGATCAACCCTGGCTTCTGCGACTCTGCGTCTTCTGTTTGACCTAAACAATGACGTGTGCAGCAAGAAACACGATGTCTTTCTTGGATCATCACCTTCTGGGACTGATCTTCAAGCGTTCGTGATTGAGTTCATCATCACCGGCTTCTTAATGATAGTTGTCTGTGCCGTCACAACCTCCAAGAGAGCAGTAAGTGATCAACAACAACAAAAAAAAATTACACACATTTTTTTATTAGGTTTTCAATCTTAACATATATGAATCTTGCAGACCAAGGAACTAGAGGGTTTAATCATTGGTGCAGCCGTCACACTGAATGTTATATTTGCAGGGTACTTCTCAATCTCCATGACTCTTCAATGTTAATGAATCTCTTTGGCTAACTAGTACTATGTTTCAATTCACAGAGAAGTATCAGGAGCATCGATGAATCCAGCAAGAAGCATAGGACCTGCACTTGTGTGGGGATGTTACAAAGGGATATGGATTTATTTCCTGGCTCCAACACTTGGAGCTGTTTCTGCGGCCTTGATTCATAAACTGTTATCGTCTACAAAGAGAGCAGACCCTGAATTCTCCAAGACAGGATCTTCTCATAAACGAGTTACTGATCTTTCTTTGTGATGATGTAGATAACATCTTTAAGGTCAATACTCGTTTAAATATGCTCAATGGCTTGCGTTTCAAGTAAACAAATAAATGGTTGTAGAATAGAGCATATATAAATGCAGCAAAACGATTTCCCTAGAAAGCGTGAGAATCTCAAAGAACACGTAAAGAAGTTTTTCTTCCAGTTTCATTGTCAGATTACGCACTATTCACTAACATAATAATCATTCATCCGTGATTAAATAAAATTGGTACTAAAATTTCCTTACACAAACATGAAAACAGAGAAGGTCTCCTCTTTTGTTCACACTGTGATACATGCGGGCGGGTCTATGTATAATTCTATACAAGTACGCGACCAGCCCAGAGGGGAAGCCACCCAAACCACCAATTAGGACATTCAAATTAACAAGACATATTTTAAAACTTTTTTTATTAGTATTAAATATGTAGAGTTTCAAGATAAATATTACTTAGTCAGAATTACTTCTTCTGTTTCAAAAAGTTAGATGTTTTAATTTATTTACACATATTAGGAAAACATATAAAATTTTGGTTATCAATGCATCATTTTTTGTAATTAATAATTTCCCATGTTTTTAACCAATAAAATTTAATTAAACACAATTAAGTTTTTTGAAAAGTATAAATTAAATTTATCATTAATTAGTACAATGAAAATGTAAAAAATGTAACTTTTTGAAAAATGTAACATTTTTGCTAAAACATAGATCTTATTAAAACAAAGGAGTATTATTTAGTGAACAAAACATAATACTCTTTGATACCAGTGCAACTAATACTTCTTTAATTTGTTTAATTGTTTCTTAATCCGTGTAACATATTTATCAAACAAAAATTATACAAACAACACTAATGTTTTTAGGAATATTATTATTGTTATCAAATAAATATAAATTATATTTATATATAAACTTTAATAAAATCATACAAAATATAAGTAAAAGTTAATAAAAATACAAGTAAAAATTAATAAAAAAATATAAGTAAAAATTATATAATTTAAGTAAACTACTATTGTTTAAATGTGAGATTTGTATTAATAATTGATTTTGATCCAAATATTGGTGATAATACTAACTAATACTGCTATACAATTAACTTTATAAAATTATCTTTAATAATTTATTAATGCAGATTAATTAGTGAAAAATAATATGATCTTTTATATTATATATATATATACTTATATATGATTATTAGGAAAATATGTAAAGATATGTTGTTAAAAGTTTGCTTAAAGCATCTAAACGTATTAGACCAGCATTAAGTATATAAAATATTTTATTCATTTAGTGTCGTATATACCTAATTTTATGGCTAAAAAAATTGTGCATTAATTTTTCTACCAATTGGCTCTTCTATATAAGCATCAGCTTATGTCATAATGCATCATCCCATTTATCAACCATATCATATTTCATCATTTTACATATTAGTCCATGTAATTTAGTGTTAATATTTAATGATTTAATTTAGAGAAAATTATGTTTTTTGTATATATAATATCAATACCTAGTTGAAGAAGTATTGGAGCCCGGAATATATTGAAGTGCACAAGGAAAAGCTCACATCTTTAAAAGCCCAAATTATTTTATGCGATTACAAGGTATGTCCAACTATGGTTCACACGATCGTGTAAAGCCCGTGAGTCACTTGGTATCTTTTTGGTTTGCTTCAGGTTCAGAATATATCACAGGGAATGGAAGTTGACGAGATTAAGATGATGGGAAATAGCCTCACAATCATCGTTAGGTAAGTGATCTTCCATGTTTTCATATATTAACATGTGCGTATTTGATGGTATCATTATTTTTGTTGACAGCTCAAGACAACAGAAATATTGAATATTTTGTTTGGGGGAGAATGACAATGTCATAGAAAGACGCAAGGTAAATGCAACTTGTACCATTATAGATCAAAATCTGAAAAAAATGCTCTAACACTGTTGTGTCTAATGTAGGAACCTATACAAGTTGGACAATTCAACAAGGAGAGTCAGGGGATTGGATGCTCAGTGATATGTCAGCGTTCTACTGAAGCTCTCGGTTCGTTGGTGTTTATAGCTCAAAGCTAAAACATGTGTATCTAGTCTTATTTTCTTCTACTGATTAAAAAATCATTGGACTATTTTATTAATAATTTTTGTTATATTAAAATAATAATTATATATTAGATCATTAGAATAAAATATACAAACACACCTAAGAATATTCTACTATAATACTATATAAACAACGGTCTCTACTTCAATTGGTATACAAAAACGCTATTTCTAGGAGAAGAAGAAACACACACTCTTATATACCATATCCTACCTTCATTCCCTATCTACTTTCGAATTGAGAATAAGAGTGGTGACACACAAAGAAAGATAATCACCTTACAGTTCTTTACTTTGCACAAAACAATCAGTGATGTACTTGGAGTAACTATCTTCCTCTGGATAGTTTGCACTTGCATAAAAAGCATATGATCTAGAAAAACAACTAATCATATTATAATATACAATATGAGATCAGATTTGTCCAAAAAAACAGCTTAATGATAAGATGGGTCATATTTATAATTGAGAATAGTACAAGACTTTGGAGGATCCAAGGAAGTGAGCTAAGCCTTCTAATCCTTGTGGGTCAGAGAAAGATCCGATACTAAAAAAATTATATGGTAACATGTGGTACAAAACTTTTTTTTGGGTTTAAATGTGTTAGATAGTTTACTATAATCATACTTTTCTATTGTTTGCAGAATAATGTGCTAGTGTTTTGGAATCCATCAAATTAGTATTAAAAAACATCATATCTAATATAGTTGATATATTTTAATTGGTTTGGATCAGTTAAATTGGTTACAAATGGTTTATGTTTGGGTGGTTTTGATTTGTAATTATTGGATTACCAAATTTAGATATTCCATCAACTGTTTCAGCAACAAAAGTCATGGATATGATGTTAGCTACATAGTATATAAATCAATATATCATCAGGTCAACTCTATACTTTATGTAACTAATAATATATTAATATTGGTTAGTGATAGGGTGGCTAACAATCATTTTGTTTATATTCTATCATCAATTTGGCTCATGTAGTTTCCTAAACTAACAAAGTCACCAGGAAACAGAAACTGGATTTGGCTTTGCTTTTAACATAAAGTATCATATCCATTTGGCTTTGCTTTGAACCGTGTCTTTTTGTTCTACAAAACCATCAGCAGTTCAGCAGTATTCAACGTTCATTTATTAAAAAAATACAAAAATACAATGATTATGGCAAGTTGCTAAAAAAGCAAACCTTGACATTTTATCACTTTATTCTCCTTCTGAGTTCTGCTATTGTTTTGGTAAACAAAACTATAAAAGGCAGAAACTCATCACAATCTCTCAAACACCAATCAAAGTCTTATACTCTCTTTTCAAAAAGAAATCTAATGGATGACATATCAGTGAGCAAAAGCAACAATGGAAATGTTGTTGTACTCAACATCCAAGCTCCTCCTGTTTCAAAAATTCCACTCCCTTCTTCTACTCCAACATCTCCACCATTGTTATCTGTTCACCTCTTGCCAAAGGTAAGTTTTTTTTTTTGTTACAATCTCTTCGAGGAAAAACTACTAAATTTCACACTTAAAAGCTTCTCTTCTGCAGCTTATAGCAGAACTCGTGGGAACTTACTACTTGATATTTTCGGGTTGTGCTGCTATTGCCGTGAACGCTCAACACAACAATGTAGTGACTCTTGTGGGCATTGCAGTGGTTTGGGGTCTAGTAGTAATGGTTCTTGTTTACTCTCTTGGCCACATCTCTGCACACTTCAATCCAGCTGTCACTATTGCCTTGGTATCTTGCAAGAGATTCCCTCTGTATCAACTCCCAGCTTACATAACTGTTCAAGTCATTGGATCAACCCTGGCTTCTGCTACTCTGCGTCTTCTGTTTGACCTAAACAATGACGTGTGCAGCAAGAAACACGATGTCTTCCTCGGATCAGCTCCTTCTGGGACTGATCTTCAAGCGTTCGTGATGGAGTTCATCATCACCGGCTTCTTAATGATAATTGTCTGTGCCGTCACAACCTCCAAGAGAGCAGTAAGTGATCAACAACAACAAAAAAAAAATTACACACATTTTTTTATTAGGTTTTCAATCTTAACATATATGAATCTTGCAGACCAAGGAACTAGAGGGTTTAATCATTGGTGCAGCCGTCACACTGAATGTTATATTTGCCGGGTACTTCTCAATCTCCATGACTCTTCAATGTTAATGAATCTCTTTGGCTAACTAATCTAATCTTTTGTTTCACAGAGAGGTGTCAGGAGCATCGATGAATCCAGCAAGAAGCATAGGGCCTGCACTTGTATGGGGATGTTACAAGGGGATATGGATTTATTTGCTGGCTCCAACACTTGGAGCTGTCTCTGCGGCCTTGATTCATAAACTGTTACCGTCTATACAGAAAGCAGACTCGGAGTTCTCCAAGACAGGATCTTCTCATAAACGAGTTACAGATCTTCCTTTATGATGGTGTAAATAAATCTTAAAGGTGTATACTCGTTCTTGTATCTTTAAACATGCACAAAGGCTTGCATTGCAAGTAATCACTATCATTAAAAAATTATTGTAGAGTGGATGATATCTATATACATATATACTTGGATAGCGACCACTATTCGAATCAATGTAATTGCATACTACAACATTCCAATTTTGACAAATCAAAGCCCACAGGGAGGGAAAAATCTTTGATTGCAGAGAGATAACTTGCCAAGAAAGCATGAGAATGTCAAACAAAACCTAAAGATGTTTTTTTATAGAAATGGTCTTAACTATATCCCTGGTTGCGTACCTGTGCAATGATGAGAGAATAGACATCAACAGATAAGGCAAAGCAGCATCCTCCAGAACCATATGTGCCTCTCATCTTCCTGGTTTATTGAATACAGCTCCAAGCACATGAGGGTTATGTGCAACTTGATAGGAAAAAAAAAACTCTTAACTATGATAGCTTAAATAGGAGACAACACAATTTCCCAAAAACAGCTTGAAACTAAAAGTCAACTCTTGAGAAATTCGAAAAATAATGGATAACATTGTGCAACTAGTCCACTTGTTCCACAAAAAAATTATGGTAAAGGCTCCAATCTGAAGTTTCTTTATTTCCATTCTACTTTCAAAACAGTCCCTCGAAAATTCATTTATAAAACTGTAACTAACGAGTTAACAAATCTAATATTAATTCATGCACATTATCAAACACAAGACTATAAAGGGAACACCGACAAACTCCAAAAGGTTTTGCGCTCAAATTACAAACCAAATACAAAATTAAGGTCTGTTTTGCAATACTAAAAGGCGCTAATTACAGAATATTAGCAGACAAAGTGAGACCGTTTAGCAACAATCCCATGTGTTCATGCTGAAGGTCATTTCAGGTAAACTTCATTCACAAGTAACACCTCACTTTTGTAAATTTCCTAATATATACATACATGTATCTACTTACAAGCTAGAGATCCTCCATGTCTGTAACTTACATGATGCTGCAAAGGCATTGCCTTGTAAGAGCTTTAGTTGCACTCACCTGCTTGTTTTGTACAGTTAGTGCTACTCCTGTTCTGCATCCAAATGAAGGTTTAGATAACATTTAGATTTTTCACTGTAAATTCTATTAAAAAAAAAAGTTATCACATGTTTTTAACTATCTATGAATTTGTCTTATGCAGTGGAAGCACTTAAGGATATTACAAAGACACTTGGCGTCAAGTACTTAGACCTAAGTGAAGATCCTTGTCTTACAAAGACCTTAGTGATAACCAAAAGTGTTCTCATGGAAGGTCAAAACAGCACAGTCAGATGTAACTGTAGTTTTAACAACAACAGAACTTGTCACATCACTCACTTGTACTGCATCATTCTCTGTGTTTGCTCATAGAATCTTTACACTTTTAGTCAAAACTGAAGCCAAATCCATTCTTCTTGTGCAGTATCCTCAAGACATTTAGCCTACCAGGAAAACTCCCACCTGACTTTGTCAAGCTCCAGCATCTTGAATTACTGTGAGATTGTATAGTTAAGCATTTTTCACAAATTTGTTTTTTTCTGACTTTGTTTCTTGTTTTTGTAAGTGACCTCTGCCGTAATTACCTCTCTGGATCAATCCCTATAGAATGGGCTTCTTTACAGAGACTCAAGTACATGTAAGCTCCTCTTCTTAAGGCTTCTAGGTCATCAAAGATTCATTATGCTTTTTTTTTTCTTTTTAGATCCCTTTGCGCAAACCGATTATCTGGAGACATTCCTAGAGGATTAGGGAAGTTTCCAAATCTCAATTTCTTGTAGGTTTTCTCCTAATCATTCAGCTGATCTTATCACACTACAAGTTTTCTGGAACTTAAAGATTGTTTCATGTTATCTCAGAGGCATTGAAGCAAACCAGTTCTCTGGAACTATTCCTGAGGAGCTAGGAAACTTGGTTAGCATAGAAGTATTGTAAGGAGAAACGTCTTCAGTGAGATTGTTATTAGTTTTATGGTTCATGAAATGATCTTCTTGTTTGATGATTCCAGAGCCTTCTCTTCTAATCAACTTGTTGGAAGCATCCCAGCCACATTAGCCAACTTAACAAACCTCAAGGACTTGTATGCTCATCAACACTCTACTGATTTTCCTAATAACCTCTTCTTGAATCAGTTGTGGTAAGTATGGTGCTTGATCTTTTGCAGCCGTGTAAGCGATAATCACTTAAATGGATCCATCCCAAAGTTTATAGGAAACTGGCCACAACTTCGGAGACTGTAAGAGAACAAATCTTTCTTGTTTCTTCATCTAACTTGAGTTTCAAGAAATACTAAAAATGTTGTGCAACCTCTATAACTAGAGAACTGTGTGCAAGTGGCCTTAAAGGACCTGTTCCTGATTCCATATCCCGTTTACAGAATTTGAATGACCTGTAAGCTAATCTTCTGACATAAAACCTTCTGTCTTTTGATATTTACTTTCTGTAATAACATGTTTCTTCTTCATTAAAACAGAAGGATCAGTGACATAACTGGAGGATTTGGCCTTGTTCCACAAATATCTAGCAAGAATCTGCAGTTTCTGTAAGTAATGTTATTATTATACACATATCTTTCTCTTACTTGTAGTGGCAATACTGATTACTCTTTCAGGGTTTTAAGGAACTTGAACTTATCAGGTCCAATCCCATTAAACATCTGGGAACTTCCAAGTCTCATGACTCTGTAAGTATCATTTTCATGACACTAAAGAAACCACACACAATCTCTTAAGCTAAGGTTAACACTAATCAAACCACACTTAATCTCTTAAGCTAAGGTTCTTTCTCCCATTGCAGTGATCTATCGTTTAATAGGCTATCTGGAGAGATACCAACAGATACAAGCGCACCAAAATACACGTAATTAACTCCGCATTCTTATTGTTAATATGACAAAAAAACGTTTGTCAGACTATGAACTCATAGCATTTACAAACTGTGATCTGTTTTCATTTTTTCAGATATTTAACTGGGAACATGTTGTCTGGAGATATTGAAGCAGGAGTTTTCCTCACTGCAAGCACCAATATGTACAGACTTTCACTATATAACATTATCATGTGTCTCCACTATTAAATACCTAATAAACTCACTGAAACATCTCTGCAGTGATCTTTCTTACAATAACTTCACATGGTCTTCAAACTGCAAAGAGAGAAAGTTTGTACACTCTTAGGACTGATCTCTCCTTGTTGTCTAGTTTTAATCTTTGCTTGAAGACAAATACTTTTTTTAATGATCGCAGGAATGTGAACACATACAAGAGCTCATTTTCAAGAAACAAAACTAGACTTCTTCCTTGTTCTGGACCAAACTATTGCTACAACTGTAAGTTTCTCAAACAGTTTTTAACTGTCTGATTATTTAAATAGAAGCTATTAAGTTTCTTATTCTTTGAAGATACCAATTCGTTGCACATAAACTGCGGTGGAGAGGATGTGATTATAAAGAACTCACGTGGAAGTATAACGTACCAAGGAGACAACTATGCACAAACCGGTTCTGCAACTAACTATCACAGTAACAACTGGGGGTTCAGCAACACAGGTGACTTTATGGATGATGCAATAACAGAAGACACTTATACAGTCTCATCAGAGTCTCTAGTATCAGCTAAACACCCTGAGCTTTATCAGACAGCACGCCGTTCTCCACTGAGTCTATCTTACTATGCCTTTTGCATTGAGAACGGAAGCTATAACGTGAAACTACATTTCGCTGAGATTCAGTTCTCAGACAAAGAACCTTACAGTGAACTTGCAAAACGGTTTTTTAACATTTATGTTCAGGGGAAGTTGATTTGGGAGGATTTTAACATTAGGGAAGAGGCTAATGGAACTCACAAGGAGGTTATTAAACAAGTGAAGACAATGGTGACAGATAACTCGTTAGAGATAAGATTGTATTGGGGTGGAAAAGGAACTACTATCATTCCACGTAGAGGGAACTATGGTTCTCTTATCTCTGCAATCTCAGTTTGTCCCAGTAAGTAACCAAGGAACATAATCTTGGTTGGTGATCAAATCATTCATGTAAAACTAACACTTCTTTTAATTCTTGTTTCAGTTTCAGAATCTGAATGTGGTGGTAAGAGGCTAATGTTTCTTTCTAAATCCTTTTTACCTGGAGAGTTATAATGTTCTGAAGATATATCATTCAGTTACTATGCAGATGCTTCCTGCAAAAAAACATAATAAAACAAGAAAGTTCACTCTCTTGATTGGCGTAACGAGTTCAATACTTTGTATCCTCTTCTTGTGTTTGGGAGTTATTTGTTGGAGGAGATGCGTGAGAGATGAAACAACAGGAGATAGAGGTACTGTTTCAAACAAACATACAAAGTTTTAAAACTACTGAAAATGTTTAAAAGAATCTGTTGTTATAACAGGTGCTTTCACTTTGAGGCAACTTAGAGCAGCCACAAACAACTTTGACCAAGCTAACAAGATTGGAGAAGGTGGCTTTGGATCTGTGTTCAAGGTACAAAGGATCTCAAATATGTAAATCATAGTGTAAAGAAGGCAATGATAAATAGAGAGATATTTCAAATACAGGGAAAGCTATCAGATGGAACACTAGTTGCTGTAAAACAGCTTTCTTCAAGATCAGTACAAGGAAACAGAGAGTTTGTGAATGAGATTGGCATGATTGCTTGCTTGCAGCATCCAAATCTTGTTAAACTTTATGGATGCTGTGCTGAGAAAGACCATCTCCTTCTCGTTTATGAATACATGGAAAACAATTGTCTCTCTGGTGCATTGTTTGGTAAGATCCAGTAATTTGCTCAACTCTAGTTATTTAATGGATCAAAACTTGTGACTCAAGCTATCTATTGACTTGTTTCCAGGAAAGAGTAGTCAGATCCTTGATTGGGAAACAAGGCAGAAGATATGCATAGGAATAGCAAAAGGACTTACGTTTCTTCACGAAGAATCAATGGTTAAGATCATTCACAGAGACATCAAAGGAACCAATGTACTGTTAGATAAGGACCTTAACGCTAAGATATCGGATTTCGGGTTGGCTAGACTTCACGAAGATGAGAAGAGTCACATTAGCACCAGAGTTGCAGGAACAATGTAATGTTATTATATAAAGAAACCTATGATATGTATGTTTGATAAGTTGAAACTAACAATGGTTCTTGTTTTCAGAGGATATATGGCTCCTGAATACGCAATGAGAGGTTACCTAACAGAGAAGGCTGATGTGTATAGCTTTGGCATTGTGGTAATGGAGATTGTCAGCGGGAAGAGCAATGCTAATTACACACCTGAATATGAATCTTGTGTTGGACTTATCGATTGGGTACTGACTAAGACACTTATAATATTCAACAGGTTTAGTTTCTTGTTCAGTGTTGAGTAGGAGATTCTTTTCCTTTGTTTCTGTTTCAGGCTTTCTTGCTGCACAAGAAAAGAGATTTTGAAGCGATTATAGATCCAGAGCTAGAGGGGAAGTTAGATGTAGCTGAGGCAGAGAGAATGATCAAAGTTGGGCTTCTTTGCACAAACATGTCTCCGACACTAAGACCAAATATGTCGGAAGTTGTGAAGATGCTCCTAGGAGAGACTGAGATAAAACAGAGCATCTCTGACCCTAGTGTGTACGGAGATGACTTGCACTTCAAGCCAACATCAGAGACAGGGATGCCACAGTTTCCTTCAGATTATGCCATCTCTGTTACATCGTCTTCTCCATCTTCTTACGATTTGTAGCCATTTTGTATTTATTGTTGCCAATAAAAGTATGGTATTAATGATCTTCAACTTATAACGTTCATATATAAAAATATTATCATTTTTAACACACAAATATATTTATAGCCTTCAGAATACAAGAATTGACCCATTCTCGGCTGTAAAATCCTTCACACGAGAAGAAGACTCAACTCGGCTTGTAGCTTTCTTGACCTATAGACAAACGAAAAACATTATAAATCATAATCTCAGTCGTCATAGTTCAAAAGGCATAGTAACCAAATATCAGTACAGACTAAGAAGAATCTATTGTTAAATAACAGTAAAGCTTTTTTACTTACCTCTTCATCCCAATTTGTAAGAAAGGTGATGATGGAAAGACATACACCTTGAACGATGAGTGCACATATGATTCCCATCCAAAGACCCTTAAATATTACAGCATTTTAGTTACATATTTGCTAAATTTGTAATCTCTGAATTTGAAAAACCTTTGAGATGGGCAAAAAAATCTGAGTAGGGTTATTTAAATTACCCGACCACCCAAGTGAAAGTGAAAACCAAGCAACAAACCGAAAGGAACTCCGACAAGATAATATGATCCAAGATTCACAACAGCTCCTATCTTCTGCCATCCACATCCTCTAGCAACCCCTTTTAACCAAAAGTAAACCAAATAAATAAGCATGACATGACAAGTAATAACCTAACCTAAAATGGTGCTTGTAGAGTGATTAACTTTACTTGCAAATCAAGCAAAAAAAAAACATGTTGTATTTTGAGTGAGAATATAAAATGACCTGAAAGAACACTTTGGAAGCTGTCTAGGCAATGACCTAAGGCGAGAATAGGCAACATTGAGGCTACAAAGTTGACTACTTCAGGGTCACTACTGTATGCGAATCCCCATATATTTCTTATCAGTATCAATACCGAACCAACTAGTATACTCTCTACGATTGCGATGCTCATGACCACCCGAACCGCAAGCTTAGCCAGTTTTGGATTCCCTGCTCCTAACTCATTTGACACCCTTGTGCTATGAATTATAAAAGACAATTTAACAAATAAAGTTACTTATTGTTATCCTGAGTCTTGAAGCAGCATCCACATATAAGGTTTACTGTGTACTAACCTTGCGGCACCACTGAGGCCAAATGGGATCATCCATATTGTTCCTGATGTGTTAAGGCTGCAAATATTTTCTTACCACTGATTGAGATATGATTTCAACATACTATAATTTTTTTCTTTGGAAAGTAGATGTGTTATTTATGTTCTTACACGTTTTCTATGTAACATAAAAAGATGTAAGCTTAACACATAAAAATAAGACAGAAAATATGTTTTGGTATATTCATAACAGAGAGATAACAATTTAATAGACTATATATAGATTGATTCTTACCAGATTGATAGGGAAGAAGTTTCTAAAACCGGGTTTGGAAGAAGTCCAGAGGAGAGAACCAAAAATTCAAAGGACCACATCTCTAGGCTGCTCAAACAACATCACCGAGAATAAAGATTTTGCTTAATTAAAGACAGAGCAATCTATAATTAGAGAAGCAAGAATTACCTAATCTCAATATCAGAACTAACTTGTTTCCCAAGTTAGTTCTGATAAATAGTTAACCTAGGCAAAATGGTCGTTAGACTTACCAGACCATAAGTGCAGAAGGAATAGCAAGTTTCATAAAAGGGATGATATCGCTTAAAGCCTCCTTAGAGAAGCCAGTCCAGGTCAGTGAGCAAGAAGGCGAATATTTAACGTAACACGACAAGAGAATGACATTAAGCCAATACGAAATCGCATTCGCCACAGCAGCTCCTCTAAACCCTAATCCAGATTTCAACACCAAGAGCCAACATAGGATCACATGAAGACAAGTGGTGACTCCAGAACACAAAACCACAGGAAACACATTGTTCTGCGCCTGCAAGAACCTGTTGAGACATTGAAGAAGACCGTAGGCGAAGATACTAGGGATCATGAACTTGGCGTAGGAGCCAGAGAGGTGTGCAATGGATTTGTCTTGGCCGAAGAAGAGGAGGAAGTGCTCTGTGTTGGCCCAAATGATGGAGAGAGGAATCGAGTAGAGTGTGAGAACAAACATTGCTCTTTGCATTTGTATGCCTAACATTCCATACATCTTTGCTCCGTATGATTGGCCACAAACTGTGTCCAACGCACTTGCTGTTCCCATCTGTTCAAAAAGGTGAGTAGCTTTCTTATGATTAGATAGCTTTCTTGCTTCACAAGTAAGCTGTCAACGTAAGTGTTGATATCATTCGATTTAAAAGTTAGACTGTCGAGATCATTTACCCCATTCAATAAATGACATCGGGTGGCTTAAAAGAAAATTAAATTAAGCATTGATATAAAAATATTTTTGTTCTTGTAGCGTAATAACATAACCGAAAATAATACATACGCAACTTGGAAATTCAGACAAGGTGGCTCAGTAGCAGCCTAATAAGTGCATAGTAGCTGGATATCGTATTTTTTAATAGAATACTGTTTACTATCATATTTTTCAATAGGGAGAATATCATACTAAAGTGTCATAAAACGAGCACACAAAGTTGAAAATTACAAAAGCATAATTTATTAAATAGTAAAAAATTATTTTTAATAAATTTTAATACAAAAAACATTTTACAATAAAATAATTATTTATTATTTTAAGCTATTCATAAAATCTAAACTCTAAATTGCAAATTTTATAAAGTCTTAAATCCGCATAAATAAATAACTATATATATATGTCTTATAACTATTAGAATTTTTTATTTCGAAAATGCCATAAAACTAGGCTGGAAATATTTGGCTTTATGTAGCACTTGTATAGACATATTAAAAAAAAATATAAAACTTCCAAAAATCAATAAAGTTTGATTGATGTAAATTTAATACTGTAGACATAAATAGTGCAACATGGATCTTCTACAGCAACTAATCATACCATAAACATTAGACAGAAAAATTATTCACCCAACCAAGATTCAGATTGACTTTTAAATGATCATATATATTAAGGTTTATAATCGGATTTAGCCGTTTAGAGTTAAGATACCCGAGATATATCTATGTGTTACATGATCATAAATATGAATAGATAAGAGTAGTGAGGAAAAAAACTGACGAGGAAGGTGAAGCCGGTGACGGAGGCGAAGGAGGTGGCAACAGCGGCAGCGGAGAGGGGAAGAGAGCCAAGATGTCCTACGAACATGACTGAGATTACTTGAAGACAAAACTGAAGAAGACTCACTCCTATTAGTGGTCCAGCAAGCCATAGCTGCTTCTTCACTTCTTCCTTTATTCCACTGCTCTTCTGCTCAATGAGAGGCAACAACAACACATCTTCTCTTTCCTTCTTCATTATCGCTTTGCTGCAAATAATGTAGACCCAAGAGAAAGAGAAGGAGAGAGACTCTGTGTTCCTTGTCTCTTGGGATCTCGTGTTTTGTTCAGTACTGATTGATTAGTGTTTTTTATATTCTTGTAAGGATATAGACAAGTACATGTGACGTATGTGCCTACCTACGTGTCTCCATTACAGTGGAAAGTGGAAACATCCGGAAAAGATTCGATAGGGGAGATCAGAGATGAATGATCCCCATCTCAATGTATTGGTCCATTTCTTGGTGGGATCTTAGAGCATGTCCATTGGGGAGTACTTAACATAAGGTCCTTAACAAAAGTGAAAAAAAATAAATCAAAAAGCCCAAATTAATGGAGTACCGCTCCTCAAATGGGGCTTTTTAGTTTTGTTAGGGAGCCCTATCGTGGCTTCTTCTCATTGGCCGTCCATCAATTGCTGTCCCTCTTCTTCGTCGCGAGAAAGCATTCAACTTTTCTCTTCATTCTCGACTTCTCCGTCTTCTCTCTCGAAACTCCTTGTCTCTCTTTGATCTCGTCGTGTCTCTCTCAAATCTCATCGTCCCTCTCTCGAACCTCGTCTTCTCTCTCTCGAACCTTGTATGGAATCTCATCTCGATCTCCTTAATCGGTAAGAAATCATCCTTTTGATTTGATCTTTAAGTTACTGCTGTCTCGAGTTTGGTTTATCTCTCATTCTCTGTTCGTGATCCCCTATTTTGTCTTCTTCCTCCAGAGGTTATAGTGAAGATCAGAAGATAGAAGCTTTAAGAGAAAACACAGCTGAGGGAAGGATAAAACTCAGACTAGACGGAAGATGAAGAAGAGGAAGAACCAGCAAGATAAGTTTGAACTTCCCTTGTCTTTTAAAAACTGATGTCGATGGTGATTGTTTTATAGTATTATAGTTTTGTTGACTATTGAAAAGATTAAATGATTTTTTCTGGTAATCGATATGCTTAAGTTATCCTATGTTTAGTATAAGGTTAGCAATGGTGGGAATGATTGTTTGTGCTTCACATGTTCACACAAACCTTTTTAAGTTTTCTGTTTTAGTTTTCATTTATCTCATTACAGAAATGTTGTTTGAGTCTTAAGTTGTTTGTGTCTTAAGTTGTTTCAGTCGAGTCTTTAAGTTAAAGACTTTTTTTGTCTTTAAGTTGTTTGTGTCGAGTCTTAAGTTGTTTGTTAAGTCTTTTAAGTTGATTGCATTTGCGTTTGTATGCTTTCGATGTTTACGGTTAGTGGATGTCTATGGTTCTGCTATGATGTCTCTGTATTTCATAAATTGAGATTTGGTAATGGATGTATTGCAGGTGGAGTGAAGAATAAAGCCAATACGCCAAGACATGAACAACTTGTAACAGAAGGATTCAAGACCACATGTGACACAAGAGAACACTCCGTACGTGAAGAGAACAAGAAGAAAAGAAACTTTGCAAGCTCAAATACAATTTGTCTCAAGTTCCAAACCATTACCATTTCTCTCAAGCTCAAATACCATTTCTCCCAAGCTCAAATATCATTTATCTCAAGCTCAAATACAATTTCTGCTAAGTTCAAATACATTTCTCTAAATTATTGTATTTAAAAAGAAAAAATTGTTTAAGGATCCCATAGGGGTACTCCCATTGGAGGAGTAAAATAATTTCCACTAATTTAAGTCCTTAACTTCACAAATCATATTATTTTCTTTTAATTTAATCATAAGTACCCCATGTTAAGGAGCCATGGATGGAGATGGTCTTAGAAACCAATTTAAGTAATATATATTCTAAATGGTTTTTTTTTTGTTTTAGTTGGTGAAATATCAACTTGATATAGAAAAAGATCTCTCTTAAACGTTAATAATAACTACAAAATACAGAAGACTTCCTTATTCATGTATTAGTAGTTCACTACAAGAAAACAGCCATTAGTAATGTCCTTATCCATTTCTTATATTAGTGTGACATTATGATAACCAAAAATCTGCCCTCAATCAATTAGAGAATAGTTTATTATAGATTTAAAAACTTCTTAAATTAACAATGTGTGTCTATCCATAAATACTGGAATTATGCAATGTATATAATACTATTCAAAATTGATTACAGGTAAATAAATGGACAAAAGTTTCAAGAGTCAAAAATGTGGTGTAAAAATAAAACTCTCTGTAACATTGAGAGAAGCAGCTTACTTGCCACATGTTTACTTGCTTTTCTTCTTCCCAGCTGGTTTCTTCTGACCACTCTTTTTGTATTTTTTGAACTTAGCAGTGTCAAGTGCTTCCGCAGCGCTCTTCCCTTCCAACCTCTTTGTCATCTTAACCACACTAGACATACCTCTAACTGCAACCGCCCTCTGATCTGGTCTACGGCTCATCATCTTACGATCAAGTGGCCAATACGCATAAGGTTCAAGCTTATCTTTCCTCTTAAGATCCCCACTTGCCTTTTTACTTGCATACTCTTTGCCTGTGTAAGCGTATCCAGACTCTGATGTCTTTAACCTCTTTTTGTTCTTCCTCGATGAGTTCACAGAGAACCTGCTCTTAGCATCCGAATCTGCATCAGAGATTTCCTTTCTTTTGGATCTCCCTCCTTCAGAAATGATTAGCCGTCCTTCCGCATCAAACTCTGCTTCTTCATCTGAGTCAGCTTTCCGTTTGCCAAGCTCACTTGAACGAAGAGCTGATCTTGTTTTGTATCGGTCCATTAAGTCAAGTGGTTCATCATCTGATTCATTAACTTCAAGATGACTCTGCCTAGGATGTTTCTTGGATGCTTTAGATTTCATCAAAGAGGGAGCCTTGCTACGGCTACGTGACTCCCCATCCATGTAGTCTCCATCGCTGTCCTCGTCTTCATCCGCAAAATCAGAAAATATCTTGGTATCATTCCACCGGCTGGCCCTGGAAGACAAAATAAAACAAGAACCAGGTATTACTTTACTACTCAGAAGCTTCCTATGAGATTTATCTGCCAACTGAGTTGGAATGGTACTTTGATAAAGTTTCTTTTGAATGCTGAGATCTACTCATCTCAGAGCCAGCTGCATATTTTCTCTCTTTACGTTCCTTGACCTGAGATAAACCAAGAAAAGATGTATGGTATACACTACCCGGACACTGAAATTAAGAAAACTTTGAAAACGGTTAGCAAACCTTTCGGATGTTTGTTAGGAGCTTTATATGTTCCTCAGGCATCACAGACTTGATAGCCTCCGTGCCACATTTCTTGATGAGCATTTCCAATAGATGTCTCACCTATTTTTAACAACATGAATCTTCAGAAAACGACAAGAATCCGCAAAACATAACAAAAAAGCTGATATACTAGTATGTATGCTTGCCACTACGCAACAAAATTATCCTGGCAAGAGCTCAGCATGTGCGAGTGTGTGTGAAAATGAGAGTCAAATTTAGGCACCAAAGATGTCAACTTGGGAATTGTGCGTTAAGAAGGGTAATGGAAACTCATAACACACACCTTTGCTTTAAAAAGGTTTTTGGTTCCTTCTGGCCATTTTAGTAAGCCTTCAACTATGCTCTTTAGGTTTGCGTGTAGTCCTTCAACAGGTGATTTAGCCACCAACACCTTTAGCAAACCTAAGTTTGCCTGTTTTCCAAAATAGATTGGTTGTAGATTTCAGAATATGGATAACAGTTCTCGCAAATGGCTAACTCGCAGCAAAATAAAGTTATGGCCTCTTGAAAGAGAAGATAGATAAACTCACTTTTGTGATTTCCTTATTTTTCCTCTGGAGAAGAAGAAATGTTGAAGGAAGCAGATTGTAAGCACTAGCTATGAGATCGGAGAACTCATATGTCAAACGTGCTACTCCCTTAACGGCAGCACTAATCATCTGAGGTTTTTCTCCAGCCAAGCAACCAACCACCTACGACGGTTATAGCAGAGGTCAACAACCAATCTTGACGCAAAAAGGAAAAGCAAAGATCCTGAAAAAATGTTACAGATTAAACATACCATATTGAAGTAACCATGTAACTTCTCATTGTCTCCACCATTTTCCTCATCTGCGTATGCATGCCCAATCTGAACAAGTACGTCATAGGCTCTGCTTCTTGTTTTTTTATTTACCTGCAAAAAAAAGCAGCGATCTGAATAATGATTCTTGGACTATCATAGTTTAACACAAACAGTTTCAAGCAATGCTTAGTACCTCTTTTAAAGCAAGTATAACTTCGGGTAGAAATGAAGAAATAATGTCCTTTCTCGCCTTTAAATCATCCTGTACAGGGAAAAAACCATTAGCATCTAGGAGGAACTAAATGCAATTCTAAAATTACGATAGGAGCTCTGTCGTAATTCCTTCAAAATACACATAAAGCTAAAACGGTAGCTTCTTACCGTCTTTGATGCATAAGCTAACAAGAAGTATAAGCAATCAAGTTTGTGGCGCTTAGCAGAGACATGGCATATATTGTGCATCAGCTCAAGCAACTCCTCGAGGTTCTTCGAAACAAATCCATCAGAACTCTGGCAACAGAAACATTTTTAACGAAGACATTAGTCAAGATTTATTTAAGAACGAAAGTTAAAGCCGTTGACATGGTTAAGCGTGGAATCTTAAGGCGAAGGAAGTACTACCTTTAAGATAACTGAAAGAACTTTGTACGCTTTCTTTTGAATTTGGCCCTTGGGATCCTGAAGTTTAAGATCCACATCAGAACATGCCAAACTCATCTTGATGTAGTAGAAGGATAAAACACAGCCACCCAGAACAATAAATCAATTTACCAACCTGCATTGCAGGCTTCAAAGAACTGAATACGGTATCTACTTCTTGACCATCCAAACCAGGTAAAAGAGAAACTAACAGATCAAACAACCTTGCCCTGTAATGAAATGTAGACAATCATGTCAACTCTGGCTCAGTAGCAACTAAAAAAAACAGACACACAGCTGAAGGTATAACAGCACCTAAGGTTGGAAGAAGAATTTTTGTCTGCGGTATTATTATCCACGTCCATCCCACTAACAGAGCTTTCATCTTCTGCAATGGCAGTTTTCGTAGCTATCAAAAGCTCTCGCAGTGTCTTGAAGAGTAGCTTTGAAACAGTCTTTTTCTCTGCTATGGAAGCCAAATTCCCTATCGCAGACTGAAAGTAAGACAACAAAAATTAAAAATACTGTGATAATCTCTGATTAAGAAGAACTAATCATAATCTCTATGACAGTCCAGTATCCTGTCCTTTAAGGTTTTGTTAGTTTACCTGAAGAGAACCGCCATCATCTTTGCCTGATTCATGAAATATCTTTGACAAAACATCCAATAATTTAGGAGCACACGACCGAATAACTTCCAAATTAGCTGCCGCCTTGTGTGAATTATAACGAGCACTAGCTCGTACCAGCGCAGGACTTGCATCACTAACAGGTACTTCCTTACCCTCCACAACTTCCTTATTTTGCTGAATCAGAATATTCAAACTCGTACATATAATTCCACGGGTTTCAGTTTGCGATTGAAGAGCTCCACACAACATTCGCCCCAGATCCTCAAAGCTCTCCGCAGTATCCACAGGATAATTACAAAATGAAGGTAACAAAGCCCATAATGAGTATACGAGAGAATCCACACTCATAGATGCTGCAGTAAGACCTTGTAGCTTGAGCTGCCACCAAAAACAATTAGTAGCAAAATTAGAGAGCAATAAAGATAAGAAAATAATTATACTGCGGGTAAAAAAATAAAAAGTACCTGTTGAGCTTTCTGGCTCATTGTTTCGACCATTCTGAAGATAGTATCTGTGAAGAAACTTAGCCGTCCTCCAACTGTGTATTGCTTCAGGATTGGGAAGAGCCAAACGTTTACTTCAGATAGATCACTTACCTCAAGGTTTAAACGCACAATGTTTAAAAATGTTTCAGGGCCCATAGCACCAAGGGCTGATCCTACACACTCATGCAACTGGGGATCGCCAAAAAAGATAACATCAGTCAAACAACAGTTAGGAAGTACATGATGTGCTAAAATAAGATTGATCTAATCCATGTTGCATGATTGCATCATCTTATATCGTACAATCATTCATTTCTAACTAAAATTAAGGTACGCTCACATAACAAGTTAGGAATATATATTTATCGTACCGAATTCACCTAATGGCCATTATGATTTAATAATAAAAAGGTACAAGTTACCTGCTTCCTATAAGGAAAGCCTTCATCAGGTAAATCTTGCATAGATGATAAGTCCTCGAGCGTTTTCCTCATAAAATATGAAGAATCTTCCCCTGAAAATTGAATGAAAGGGTTAGCACATAAACAACTAAGCAAATAATTGCTCAAAATAACTCCCTGAGGTGGACAAGGAAAAAACCTTACAACAAGAAGAAACAAGTGACAAGACATAGAATAACAAAAATTACCTAATTTATTGAACATGGTCGAAACTACTTGAAAAGCCATGTCCCAGACTGCATGGTACTTGTAATCAAGCAAACTTTCAACCGTTGCACAGAGTTTTACAATGACTGTTGGACTAGACTTCTTCACATCCAAGTTTGAATTCCGTATTCCGTTGACGCCTTCTCTGATCAAGCTTTCATCAACGCATGAATGTATCAAACTCTTCAATGCATCTGTTGCTGCAAAGATTGCCTCCTCATGCTCGGATGCAATAATATCTGCCAAAGGGAAGCACAAAGATCATGGCAACAATCAGATAAACCGCACAGACAAGAAAAGCAGAAACCAAAAAAAGCAGGAAGGAGCAGATACAGCATACCTTTCAGACCATTGAACACACTAGGAAGCTTAACCACGCAAACATCTCTGTTTAGAGAAAAAGCCCTGATCATCCCAACTTTCAGCAACCGTGCTGTGGAGGTCATGGCATCAGCAGATGTTTCAGGCGTCGAGAACAGTACAGCAGCATGGTACAACACTTCGACGAGCGCCTCAACTGGAACCTCAGATGTTGGATTGAGACAAAGCGCATAAAAAGAGTCTATCACTGGCCTTGTAATGAATGCATCGCGAGTAACCATCAGCATCTTAAATCCCTCAATGACAGTAGCTACATGTTTCTTCGACATCAAGGCCAAGCATTCTTTTAGAGTGCTGAGAAGGTAGAGAACTTGCTGTGCACCCCTGGCTCCTTCGGCAGAACGTGCTTCTGACTTATGAGCGAGGTCTAAATATTTCTGAAACAATTCTGCAATAGTACCACTCACTGATTGACAGGCCTTTGTACCATGGGTTTTCTGCAGGACATCACGGAGACACGAATTCGCTAGCTTTCTTACCTTTCCGTCTGAATGAGTTACAAGACTCAGCAAGACACTGTGTGCTTCAGAGACTTCATTCCCCATCACTGACTCAATGGTTGTAAGCAGATGAACTAAACATTTCAATGCGGAAATTAAACACTCAGGTGTGGCTGATTTTAGACGCATGACGCTGAGGACGAGACGCAAAGCCAACCCATTCCTCTTTAACACTCCTGATGAGACTTTAGGAAACACAAGGGAGAGGATGACAACATGTGGCTGGACTACTTCCATAGGTGGTTCAACATCTGGAGCAGACAAGAGGCTGTCTAGAGAGCTGCACGTGGCGGCGAAGTAAGCCACAGGTGTCTGACTATGATTACCTTCTGCTAACGCTTTTGATAGCTCGTCGATTACAGCGCAGTGATGTTTATGGTCTGGTCGTTTTGACTGGGATAAGCGAGAGAGCATGAACTCCCCAAAATCACCGGAAACAGGTAGGTCAGGTTCTGAGGGTGTGAGGCACAAGCCGGTTTCAATGTCAAGACACAACGATTCCATAACTATTAGGTTTGTTTAGCAATCACTTTACTCCGAGAATGACACAAACCTAAATGAAACAGAAAAAAGACAGAACTTTCAATGCAATATCATACGACTGCACTTAATCAAAAGCTGAAAATAATTGTCGTAACGTTAGAGAGTAAAATGGAGGAGCTTCTGAGAATGAGAAACAATAAAAGACAGAACTTTATCATGCGATTGTAACTAACAAAAAGCTGAAACAATCTTCGTGATTTTAATTACAACTGAAACTAATCATCAGAACATGTGATAATAAAAACTAATTCTAACCAAAATTGTACAAGACCACAGATAAGATTGAAGCTGTATGGTCTCAGAAAACATGAACTAAGCAAATAAAACAGAACAGGTATAGCGAATAAAGCTTCGCACTTTGGATTGTATCCGAGCAAAGAGAGAAATAGGAGGAGGAGAAGAGAGTAACGTTGGTCGAGTTTCTAACCTGGATATAGTGAAGGAGAAGACCCTTCGTGGAGCTTGTTGCTGCTTACTTGAAGATGGATGACTGCACAAGTCTGATGTTGGCGGCAATGAAACGACAAAGTGTTTTTAGGGTTCTCTCTCTCTTGAAAATCAATCCAGGGTTTAAGGTTTAATTCAATTTTATAATTTTTAAAGCGGTTTTAGACAATTAATATTGCGGTTTAACCGGTCCAACCAGCCGATACGCTCTCCATTTCACAAAATTGTCCTTAAAACTTTCTTAAAAAGAAAAAATTAAAAATGTTTTGCAAGTTTAATTTGCAGTCTCTTTTTACTACTACCTCCGTTCCTGAAAGTAGAATTTTCTGGATTTATTTTTTGTTCCATAAAGATAGATTTTCTATATTTTTAAGGTAGTTTTGTATACTTTTAAGAAGCATTAATTATGAATATTTGAATTGACTGAATTTTATTGGTGGATATTTATTAAAAAGTGGGTAGGAAAACAAATAATAAATGTAACTATGAACATTTATTATATTTCTTAATATGCGTACATAGTCTAGAAAATCTTACTTTCGGGAACGGAGGTAGTATTGGATTGTGATTTTTTCTGTATATTAATACGTTTACACTGTTATATATTTGTACCAAATAAACAGAGATTTTGCACATCTAAATCAACAACCAAAACCATTAATTAGCTCACCAAATTCCGGATCTAGCCTGACCCTGAAATAAAGAAAAGACTCGATGGATTACGAAATTACATCTTGATAACATCTCAGGTCGTTTCACCTGCTTCTCAAACTGTATGGGCCGTATGGGTCCATGTTGGGTTTTGTTTTTGGTCATTTTAATGAGGTGGCTTCTTGTAATGAAATTCTTGATATGTAAAGTTAGTTGTTTAATTTATCAGTAAAAGATTCTATAAGAGCACACATATATATCCGTAAGTATATAAAGATGATTAGGTCAAATGTAACAAAAGTAATTATTAAATTTATACAAAGGAAATTGAACTCAAAGTAACCTAAAGTATATATGAATTCTTATGTAGTAAATAGTATCAAATTTGCGTGAATCCTATTAGGTTATCCAAACATAGCTAGCTTAAAACAAGGTTCAAGAATACTGGAACCTAACCGAAACATCAGCCATTGCCCAAGGTGCCGTTTACTGACGAAAATAGATTTACAAATCATTTTACTTTATTAGATACCATGTGACATTTACGTGCGTTTTGGATTAACCAAAACAGTAAGCAACGAATAATAGGATAAACCCGTTTTTCGTTCCGTAATTTCATGATATACATAGAAACACAAGAGTATACATATAACGTATAACTAAACAGCTACATATTCCCTTCACCAAATACTGTACCTTGTTTACATATTCCTACGTAAATTCATACGTACACGCATATATGTGGTCGCACACATACATATGTGATCTCAGTACGTATTTTGAGTAATTCGTCCCATTCCCATATATATAAATACAGTTTTAAGCCCTCGCTTATTAGACCTTGCGACATATATTAGACTTGAAAACATCTTAGAATGTAAGAACAAGAGTATAAATCTTGTGATATAAATCTTAGAATATATAACATCTTATATTGAATTATAAATCTTGTGACAAGAGTTCTTACATTTAGACTTTTTGGCCATATATCCAAGAATTAATTTTACATGGGTCAAATAAATGGTTAAATATAAAAAAAAAAAAAAAAAAAAAAGTGTCACTAACAAGATTTGAACCATCGTTAGGGGTCAGACATATCACTTTACCACCCAAACAACCAATTATTTTATTAATTTAGTAAACAAAATCTGCATAGATAGCTAATTACCGAGTATGTTTTGTATATTCACCTAAATAGTCCTAATAATTTAAAGAATGTCAGATGCAACTCCATCTTTCTATATGGGTCCGCCTCTGCTTACATCTAGACTTGACATCTTGGAATGCAAGAACAATACTTCTTACGTTTGTGCAAGAGTAACAGGCAAAAAAAAAAAGAACTCTTGTCACAAGATTAACCAGTATATAAGCTTATCTCCACTAAAAAATAATAATAATACTTTCCTATCCATTTGATTCATTGAAATGATTACTCCACCAGAGAATTTAAAATTTTCATAGGAGAATATTCGCATTTCAAGATAGATCTGGAAAGTATGGCCTACTGGGGCTCCGCTGGTTCTCAGATCCCAAAAGTCATTTCCCCAAAATTACTAGTACTATTTTGCATTGTTTTATTCTTTATTCTTACACAAGAAAGAACTCAAGAAGAAGATAGTTTTGTATGATTGGATTGATGACATAATACAAGACAGCAAATGATATATAGTACAATAGTTAGAAATTGTGGTACTATACTTGGTGCCGCTAATTTTTCTATAACCATCAGAATAATAATACATTTCATCAATAACGAGTTACCTAACAAATTCATTAAAGAGATAGCAATGTGTTTGATCAAAAAAGAAGGAGATAGCAGTATTAAACTGTTAATTGGTTCATTCAACATAATAAAACAACCCTGAGGTTTCTAAATTGTGAAATATATTAACTTAAAATTTAGTTGCAATTAACATTAATCTTTTAGCCTAATCTCTCTCGTTTTTTTCCTTTTTAAAAATAAATACCGTACACCTAAACGTTTTTAAGTTGAAAGTTAACCAATGACAACCCAATGAAAACATTTGATTAGAAATATAAAGGTGCGAAATGAATTATACGCAATGCCTAGTTTATGCTCAGTATGAAAGCTGAGTTTATTAATTAATCTATATGACAGACCCCTAACGCCTACTACTTTCCAGCCTGATTAAACCATTTCATTATCTTAATCGCTTAGTGTTCGGTTTGTAGTTTAATTAATTGTTCTGTTTTTTGAGCTAATCTTTCTACTTCTAACTATTTGTAATTTCATGACTATATATTTGTTAGATTTTGCATATTTTATGATTCTGTTATTGTGAGTCTTAAGACATACCCCTCCCAAAATGATACTATAAATTAACCCCTCTCATTTCTTGCATCTTTAAGAACATCTCTAAGCTCATTCCATTTTTACAGCAAAATAGAGTTTTTATTCTATTTTTTAAAGAATAAAATTTAGTTTATTGGATAAATAGAATAATTTATTTTATGATATTTATTACTCTATTTTATACTTTATAATAGAATAGAACTGGGAAAATTGCTCTAATGTAATACAAACTAGTCATTGTAGTTTGACCTCTAAATTCTAGATGACTAACCTATCATCCCGTAGTGGCTAGTGGTTTGTTTTATGGCTTTGATAAAATTAAATTTTATATGAGCTTCTCATTAGAAAGTGAAATCACCTTCACTTTGTTTTATTGGTTGAACACCTTCATTTTGTTTCCATGTTACAAAAGAAATTATAAATTTTAAACTACCACTAACGTTAGAATAGTATATGTATGCAGTGCCAACATATAAAACAGGACGCGTGGGCCGAAAGCAACGGAACCTGATGTGTCTGTACACGCAGACGTCTTGATTCCTTTTTCGGTAAAACACACAAAAAGTATTGTTTCCAGTTTCCCATATATTAATTTTCATTACCTTACTTCAAATCTAGTTAGGTTATCTAAGAAATTGTTATAGTATCTTTTATTACATTTAATACTGTACAAGATTCGAGCCTATCACTTGTTAAAAGATCTGAAAGAGTAAGAATAAGTAGACTACATATCGTGATCGATTCAAACACAATCCATTAAAAAGATTTTAACTTTTCATTACTGAAACTGGCTCGACCATGTAGTTTTGTGTGGCAATCTGCCGTCACTTGTCTTGTACAAAACAAAAAGCACAAGTCTGTCCAAAATCTAAACATGATGTTTGATCCGGTTCTTAACTTCTGATACATGCTTTTCGCTGCATTTACTTACTTCTGCTTATTTTTAAACATTGTTTAACTTTAAAATATTTGTAGAAAATTACAGAAGAACAAATTACCATTTTTTTGTAAACCATGCATGAGAAAAATGATACACAAGTTACGAAACATAACAGATTCACTCACGGGTGTCCTGTTGACGTCATATATTTATTTTACAAGGATAAATAATACTTTTATGGCGTAAAAAATTGCTAAAGTTTTGTAATGTGAGAGCAAAAAAAGTCCTTCAATTCTCTCAACTAACTTAACCCAGGAACGAGGATTGTGTCGCAGCCACATAAAAAAATGTATGGTCCCTGTTTTGCTAAAACATACACGGATACACCAACACTTAACATAAAAAGTGACCTGCCTAAGATAATAATACAGAATAGTTACTTGTTTTCTTCTTATGACACATCCAGCTATTAGTTGGATTGTTATAATGTTAAACAAACTGACTGAAACCCACTTTATTATAATGTTAATAGTGGTATATTACTTTATATTTTCCATGATTATGATGTTTCATAAAAACATAGAATGCTCATATACTACAACTCTACCTGAAATCTTTTTGTGTGAGTGTTTATAGACTCCAAATAATTCATATAGTTAATATTAAGCGACACCATGGAACAAAAGAACTTTTTAAGGAATAAATTCATGGCTATGAACACAAGTTACAAAAGTTAGATGGTAAAGACAAACCTGATGCGACTTAGTGATGGTGACCCAAAAGAACGATCCAATTTAGAGTAAAGTCTCACTCTGCATTGCACAGACACGTATAGATAAGATTTGTCCTTATTACACAAGGTCCATATCATTCAAACAAAAACAAAATTAATTTATAAATATTTAAAAGTTAGTGTAATAGAAAAATTAAAGCGGGGTCCGCACTCTATGCCATTACCATGACATCATGCACTTGATAAACAGTTAAACACACATAAAACCCCAACACAACTTCTCAAGACTCTCTACGTTTCCTTCTTCTCTCTTCCCCCTTTATAAAAGAACCACCCCATTATCTACAGAGATTAGTGAAAAATCTTTATAAATCTCATAACCAAACAATTATAATTCTCTTTGTTATTAATGGCTGAAGAATTCGATGAATCTGAGGTTGTATTCTCCCAAGACTTCAGCTTCAAGAGAGACGACGAGGATGAAAACAACATGTTCGGTGTCAAGGAGATGAAGAAGACGAGCCGGATCATCAAGAAGACGGCGGAGTTATCAAGATCGCTTCCGGTGAATGTTCCAGAGAACATGTTTAGGAGGAGGTACGTTGGGAAAGAGGAGGAGGAGGAATACTCCGGCGGTGGAGGAGAGATTGTTCCGCCGCATGTTATCGTGGGACGGAGGATCCAAGGAGGAGAAATGGCGTTTTCGGTTTGTACAGGTAGTGGAAGGACTCTTAAAGGGAGAGATCTGAGCCGGGTTCGTAATTCGGTTCTCAAGTTAACCGGTTTTTTGGAGGCTTGATCTAAACATTGTTACTACTATCCGGTTTTGTCATTTATTTTATCTTCCTATTATTCTTACAATTTACGGAAAATTTACCAGTGTTGTTTTATTTAAAGAAAAGCTGGGGAATTATGAAACAATTAAAAAGGTCTATCTACCCATTACCGTTCGTTCTTTTTTTCATAGTCTTTGAAATTTCCTCAATTGTAAGAGAAAACATAAGAAAAATATCGTTTTAATAATGAGAAGAAAAGAAAGAATAACAATAATTGTTATAAGTTGAAATTTAAAAATTTAATGTAAGTCAAGTCTCTCAAGTGTCTTTTGTACTTTAATTGGAATTATGGGAGAGTGATGAATTATATATCTGAGTTGGATTTTATCTTGGTGACAAAAGCTGAACAGAAACAGCTGTTCTGTTGTCATTGATTGCGAGAGAGAGAAAAAGTTAGAAATTAGCTGCCGCCGGTGATACCAAGGAGAGAAATGCATAACTAGATTGATTTTTTTGATTTTTTTCATAAAATTAACCCACTAAGAGCTAATTAAGCCTTACTTATTATTTGCCCACTAGGTGTTTTGCCCGCACTTGCGGGCTTAATAATTTTACGAATATCTATAAATAAATATATAATCAAGTTATGTAAATTATAATAAATTATTGTTCATAGACTCAAAATATTTATTAATAAACTAAACAAATTCTTTTTATTTATAAAATTTTCATCATCATATAAATAATTTTCATTACACAACTTATATTTGAAAATACTCATAAACTTGAAACATTTAGTAATAAATTAATATTGTTTTTAGACATAACAAAAAAATATAAAAAAATATGTTTAAGAATGTTTTGGATAACACAATATAAATTATCTATACATAAATTCTTTGCAAATTGATTTTTCATAATTAACTATATATTAACAAATAGAATTATTTTTTCAACGCTAATAAAGACTTTATAACACAATATAAAAAAAGTTAGATAAAGATAATTATCAAATTCATGAGATTCATTTTTTAATTTAGAATTAATTATATGTTAACAAATATAATTATTTTTCAAGGTTGATAAAGACTTTATCACATAATATATTAAAAAATAAGGATAATTATCAAATAAATGAAATTCAATTTTAATTTATAATTAATTATATATTAACTAATATAGTTATTTTTCAAGTATATTAACTAATATAATTATTTTTCAAGGTTAATAAAAACTTTATAACCCAATATAAAATAGTTTTAGATAAAGATAAATCTAAAATCATTGAAATTCTTTTTTTATTTATGTTTAATTATATTAAATTTTTTAATTATTCATTAAGGGTATAAATGATATTAACCGTTCTAACTTTCAACGTGAGAGCTTTCTTGCAAAAAATCATTCACAAATAATAGTATAGATTACCTAAATCACAGAAAGTTACAAATTAATCAGCATATTCACTTAAATTTTATAATTAAAAAATATATTTTTAAGATAACAACCTAATACAAAAGAATTAACATATTTTCTAAAAATATAATATTATTAACATAAATTCTTTTTTTTATAATAAATTATTAAAACATGAAAATAAGTAAAATAAGCTAAAATCATGGAGAAGTTGACAACTAAGCAAATTTTTACTTCTCAAATAATAATTGAATAATATATTTTTTAAGATAACAATCTAATACAAAAGAATTAACATATTTTCTAAAAATATAATATTATTAACATAAATTCGTTTTTATTATATAATAAATTATTAAAACATGAAAACATGAAAATAAGTAAAATAACCTAAAATCATGGAGAAGTTGACAACTAAGCAAATTTACTTCTCAAATAATGTTATAGATTAAGGACCCATATTAAACAAATTGAAGTGTTTTTTCTCCTTGCTCATGAAAAAGTTCTGGGCTGCTTCCTTAATAAGACCAATACAATTTTAGAATCTCTGAATTTGCCTGCCTAAGCCCAATAAGAACTCAGGTTTAACTAGCTTCGGATTGGAGAAAACGATTTGAACCAAAGAAGGTATACCTTTAGGGTTGTTTTTTAACTTTCGTAAAATACATTTTAAATTTATTAACTAATAAAAAGAATAAAAAAATTTTTATATATGAGTTATAAAAGACGTATCTTAATCGGAAAGTGTTTAAAAGATTTCACCCTAAGATGCCAGTGTTAATCAATCCCTACATCATTTGAACATAGAATTTTATTATCGTACCATATAAATAAAAATATCACTATTCTAAAATCATCCAAATTTTAAAAGAAAAAAACCAAAAAAAAATACCCGCCCTTTAGAAGGGCGGGTCAAAATCTAGTTAATTTTTAAAAACGACCTATCGACTGTAGTAGATATGGAGCCGTATGGGACACGTCAGATAATCCCATGACGACGCCTTAATCTCCTGACTTGGCTGTTACAGCGACATTTGATTTCCTCCAAACATACAGACAAAAGGCAGAGAAACTCAACTCTACATAAACATCACATCACATACAAACAAAGCAGAGCAAACCCCACTAAGACAAAGAAAAACTCGAGAACCTTTACTAGTTAACGAACTAACACCAAAACCTTTTTTTTTTTTTCGTTTTTTCTCCTCTGCAGCTAGCTTAAAATACATTGATCATGCAGTCTGGTGCGAAGAAGAGAAAGGCCTTGAAGAAGAAGAAGAAATAGGTGGAAGCATTTGGAGCCAGTCCAAGCAACAAAGGCGCCAATGGTCATGGTGCTGTCTTCTTCTTTGAAAATACTACAAGTTTATACTAATTTTATTATTTGTAATTGCTGGATCTTGATGGGCCAAAACTTAAGGCCTGTTAAAGTAAAAGGATAGACACGCGTGGGTTTCTTTTAGCTGGCAAGCAGTGACACTCGAGTGTCTTCAGATCTGTGTCGGTGATCGACGCGGCAATGAATATACTAATTAATAAATCTTCAAAATCACTAAATTGCGCATTAATTAATGTTTTTTAATTATAAAAACCATCCATTTAAGGCCATCCTAACCCAATAGCTCGCTCACTGGATTCTGGAACTCAAACTAGCTCCGATCCAGAAAAATCTTAACAAGTTGCAATCTTTTGAGACGGATTCTTTCACGCAATCCCTTATCTTCTGGTAATCTTTCTTTTGCAGCAAACGCTCTCTCTCTGTAGAGATCTCTTTGCTTCTGTCTTGGGAATTGCTTTCATGTCTGATTTGAACTGATCTTGTCCGTTTTTACTTATTAAGTTGATGTTTTGTCCTTAAACTTCTTCTTCTGAGTTCATTAAATTAGATCCATTTTTTTTTCAGTGTGAAATTCTTAATTTTGTTGTAAGATCTGAGTGTCAGAGTTAATTCAGTTCAGTTTAATGATCTAGATCTATAAGTATGTGTGTTCTTGCTCTAATTAGCTCCCAAGTTTAGAACTTGAGCATAATCAGCTTAACAAATTTACAATATATGATCAGTTTCATTCTCCACGAGTGAATAAATCTAGTCAGATGTGTCTGAACTTGTTTGAGCTTTTGTTTATGAAAGAATGTTAAATTATTCATCTCAAAAAGTCATTTTTACAACATGTGGTTTAGTGTTTGTGTTTGTGATAGAAAGATCTTTTAGAAAATTTGCAAAAAAAGAAGCAATTCACTGCAAAAAAAACAGCAGAAAATTGATATAACGTGATCAACTGTGAGAAAAATGTTGAATACCTTACTGATTTTCTCTTTACTGATCATATCTAATTTTTGTTATTGATTTTCAGGTGAATGCGAGTAAGGTTTCATTGACTCGAGGAACATGGCGATGGGGAAGTATTCTCGTGTAGACGGGAAGAAATCATCGAGCTATGGATTAACCATTACCATTGTTTTAGTTGTTTCTCTCTGTTTAGTTGGGACGTGGATGTTCACGTCTTCTTGGTCTGCCTCTGATGACTATTCCTCTACTGATACTGCTAAAGACGCCGATTCTGTTACTAAGAACGTTGCTGAAGACAAGAAGGAGGACAACAAGGCTGTGACTGAGAATAGCGAAGTGAAGACTGATCCTGAAAAATCTTTCGATGAAAGCTCCGGGGAGAAAACCGAGGCTGTTGATGAAAGAAAGGAGAATGATGACAGCGATGGAGATGGAGGGAAAGAGAAGATTGTGAAAGAAGTGGAATCCGAAAGTGATGAATCAAAGGAGAAGGTTGTGAAAGAAGCAGAGTCTGAAAGTGATGAGACAAAGGAGAAAGAGAAAACTCAGCTGGAAGAGAGCAAAGAAGAAAACAAATCTGAGGATGGGAATGGAACCGATGAGAAAACGGAAGAGAATGCTAGTGAAACCGAAGAAAGCACGGAGAAGAGTAACAACAAGGAAGTCTTTCCAGCTGGTGACCAGGCTGAGATCACAAAAGAGACAAGCACTAAAGATGGATCTTGGTCAACCCAATTGGTTGAGTCACAGAACGAGAAGAAAGCACAAGAGTCTTCGACAGCTAAAGACCAAAGTGGCTATGAATGGAAGACGTGCAATGTGACTGCTGGACCAGACTACATCCCTTGCCTTGACAACTTGCAAGTTATCAAAAAGCTTCAGTCTACAATGCATTATGAGCACCGCGAGCGTCATTGTCCTGAGGAATCTCCACGTTGCCTTGTGTCTCTCCCTGATGGGTATAAGCGTTCCATCAAGTGGCCAAACAGCAGGGAAAAGGTAAACAATAGTATTTTTGGAATTTTTAAACCGCTTGTACTCCTTTAAACGATCTGTCATGACATCTATTTTTTGTGTGATTGCAGATCTGGTACAACAATGTTCCACACACCAAGCTTGCAGCAATCAAGGGACACCAAAATTGGGTGAAGATGAGTGGTGAACATCTCACATTCCCTGGTGGTGGTACTCAGTTTGTGAACGGTGCTCTTCACTACATTGATTTCATCCAAGAGGTACAGTTTTATAATAGCTACATAACTTTCTCCTTACAAAGCATGCTAAAGATTTAAATGATTGTATTGTTGCAGTCATATCCTGCTATTGCGTGGGGAAACAGAACCCGTGTTATATTGGATGTTGGATGTGGAGTTGCTAGCTTTGGGGGTTTCCTTTTCGAAAGAGACGTACTTGCTTTGTCATTTGCTCCAAAGGATGAGCACGAGGCGCAAGTGCAATTCGCGCTGGAACGTGGTATTCCTGCGATGTTGAATGTTATGGGAACCAAAAGATTACCCTTCCCTGGTTCTGCTTTTGACCTTATCCATTGTGCTCGTTGTAGAGTCCCTTGGCATATTGAAGGTATACTTTCTGTCTCATTGTATTCTTCTATCTTAATCTCTTTCCACATAATAACATTGTTTTGGTCTTTCAAAATGAAGGTGGTAAGCTTCTTTTGGAATTGAATCGTGCTTTGAGACCGGGTGGTTTCTTTGTCTGGTCAGCCACTCCAGTCTACAGGAAGAACGAGGAAGATTCTGGTATATGGAAAGGTAGGAAACCTTTCCTTTTCGTCTTCTTTGTTTTCTCTTTACCTAAAAATAGGCTTTTGGAATTTGATTCTAACTTTCTTTGTGTTGTAGCAATGTCTGAGCTTACAAAGGCAATGTGTTGGAAGCTGGTGACTATTAAGAAAGACAAATTGAATGAGGTTGGTGCTGCCATATATCAAAAGCCAACTACGAATGACTGTTACAACAAAAGACCTCAAAATGATCCACCTCTCTGCAAGGATTCCGATGATCAAAATGCAGCTTGGTAGAGTGGCTTTAAACTCTTACTCAGTTCACTAGTAAAGCAATGTAATCTGATGCTCATATATTTGATTTACTGTTTTCAGGAACGTTCCACTTGAGGCATGTATGCATAAAGTGACAGAGGATTCATCAAAGCGAGGAGCCTCCTGGCCCAACATGTGGCCAGAGAGACTTGAGACTGCACCTGAGTGGTTGGATTCACAGGAAGGTGTTTATGGTAAACCTGCACCAGAAGATTTCACAGCGGACCAAGAGAAGTGGAAGACCATTGTCTCAAAGTCATACATTGATGGCATGGGGATCGATTGGTCTAACGTGAGAAACGTGATGGACATGAGGGCTGTCTATGGAGGATTCGCTGCTGCATTGAAGGATCTGAAGTTATGGGTGATGAACGTCGTTCCTGTGGACGCTCCTGACACACTTCCAGTCATATATGAACGTGGTTTGTTTGGAATCTATCATGACTGGTGTGAATCATTCAACACTTATCCCAGAACTTATGACCTTCTCCATGCTGATCATCTGTTCTCCACCCTGAGGAAGAGGTAGATAATAACATCACCTGTTCTCTTTTCTTTAACGCAGAGCTTCATGATCTCATCTGATGTGATGAATATAAACCCCTGTTCTTTTGCATTACAGGTGCAATTTGGAGTCAGTAATGGCTGAAGTTGATCGGATTCTGAGGCCAGAGGGGACTTTCATCATAAGAGACGACATGGAAACAATAGGGGAAATTGAGAAAATGGTGAAATCCATGAAATGGGAGGTAAAGACTACACAGTCTAAAGACAATGAAGGCTTGCTTTCGATTAAGAAGTCATGGTGGCGTCCTACACAAACTGAGACAATCAAATCCGCAATAGCTTAAGACAAGTCAGAAAAGCATCGCACACGAGTATAGTTTCATTGAAGTTGGTTCTTTCAGGCCTTCACAAGGCTTGCTTATCAAATTGAATTATTAGTTTAATATTTATATTTCATTGCACTGAAAATGTTGTATACGTACTCTTGGTACAAGTTCTTTTAAATCATTTGCCTCTTCGGAAAACTGTATCTGAATAGGGTAAAGGATCACATGTTTGATTGGTAATGAACATATAAACGTAATGGTAAAACATTGTAGAAAAGATAATGTTGGTTAACAAAACTGTCAGAACAAAAAACAAATAACTCAAGTATGAATCTGATATATTTGTCCACACGAATCTGAAACAAAAGCTACATGTCTGCGAAGAAAGCTCTGTTGTCCACTGGATTTGCTTTGCTTTTTGTTTTCCTATTGCTACCTGTACAAGCAAAACAATCGAGATGAGATAATCATAGTCAAGGTCCACCCCAAGAAATGTTTCTAAATATGTTACAGAAAGTTATGCAGGTTTCTTTTTTACCTTTGGAAGGCTTGGGATCATTGTCAAGGTCCATCCCATCGTTGTCGCTGTCACTGTCTTCTGCAGCTCCTGATGCGTCTCCGTTAGAACCTTGTATAATCTCTTCTAGGTCCCACAACTTCATCACCAGGAACGCCAAAAAAAAAAAAAAATCAAGGATCTATTTGTGACACTTGTTTTTAGAGAGAAGAGATGATTACCTTGAGCATACTGTCATGAGCTGTGCTACCAAGAAACTTGTTATCATGCGAGAGAGCTACATGAGAGATTTGACAAAAAAAAAAAATGGTTAGAAACTCAATTCTAAATAAAACGGTTGTCTTAACAGAGAAGTGTAAAATACCGAGATCTTCGATAGGGAACTCGTGAGAGCCAATTGGCTGTATGATTCTGTTAGGCAGTATTCCAACGAGACTGGAGAAAAAAAATGCAAATAAAATTTGATTGTGAGATAAACGGTAAAGAGCATTCTCTCATGGAAGAAGAGTGTTTCTTTTTCGTTACCTGATTATTCCATTATCACATCCAGTAATAAGTCTATCCTCATCAAGCTACAACATACATCAACAAGACTTCCATCAGTCAATAATCTACTAATGTAATTTTAACCATATGCTTTAAAAGAAATTTTCATCTCACCTTTACTAGGACATCAACTGAATTTGGAGACAGATCAACAAATCGATCGCTGTAGATAGCGAAAAAAGGTTTCAAATAGTTAAGTCTCAATACATAATGCCTTATTTACATATTTAGTGTTGAAGATACATGGCTTACCTACAATCTTTGAAAAATCCCCATGAGTACAACATGAGAATACCATTTTGAGTTCCACAGATAGCTTTACGGCCATTCTGAAATCAATCAGGTAAGAGCAAACGATAACACACATTAGGTAAGTAGCAACAATTTGGAGACAGAAGGGCTTGAGATGACAGAATCTGTACCTTCATTATAACAACAGAAAGCAACTCGTCTTCAGAAAACTCGGACTGAGCTTGAACTTTATTCGTTCTGAGATTGCAGACAGATAGAGTCCCATCTCCACTAAATAGTGTCAAAGAAACCAAACAGGATAGATAAGCAGAAAAGTCTCCTATGAAAATTCAAAAAGCACAGCTTCATCGAATCAGATGAGTTCAAACAATTCAAACCTTGTTGCAACTAGCTTCATTGAATCAGATGCAAAGGTCATGGCAGAAATGTAATCCTCGTGTACATTAAACTCGTGAGAGCAAGAGCGTTGTCTCGTATCCCAAATCTGGGCAGATGAACGCAGATTATTATCATAACGTTGAACAAGGAACTTTAGCATCAGAGTAACTTGTACTATAGTTGCTTCACAGTTTCTCAAATGATTAAAAGAGGAAAGAGAAAATCTCTGTACAGACCTTAACACAGCCTTTATCATCCCCTGAAGCAATAGTTGTCTCAGTAATAGTTATCAAAGTATTAACAGCATCCCTACAAGACCATTGCCGAAACATTCTCACTCACTAAAACATCACCACTTAACAATTAAAAAAAAAAAGTATCCAAGGGAATTAGAATTTACTCGTGAGCATTCTCAAGACGCGCAACACTAGCACCAGTCTCCACATCAGTAGCTAGAATAGAACAATCAGCTGAAGCTGTAACGATTCCTAATAAAACCAAAAAAAATAATAAAATGTAAATCATAACTACAACTGTTCGGACATAAGCTCAAATCAGTGTTCTAAAAGCTAAAAAGGAACAAACTTTGGCCATCATCAATGAACCGAACAGCTCTGCAAGACTCCTTATGAGCACGAACCTTACGCTCCCTAACACACACTCGGAAAAAAAAATCAGCGATTTTTACACAACCCACAAGAAAAAGACACAAACTTTGATACCTGACAAGTGAAGACTCTGTGTCGTAACGGTAACTGCAACAAAAAAAAACAGAGTACGAGGTTAACTGGTGCTTCTTTTGTGGAACTGAAAAGAGAAGGGTTGGATTTTGGAGTTACAGATGCAATTGTCCATTGATGAGACCAGTAGCTATAAGACTCTTCGAGGGATGGAAGTCTATACCGAACGCGTTTGCTCCCAAATCGATCTCCATCACCACTCACTTGATTGTATTGTGTAAGAGAAAACACAGAGCCGTCGTGTCGATTTTGAGTTTAGGGTTTATTTAGGGCTTTTCTTTTTTTTTTAATATTTATTTTTTCTCTCAGAATTTAGAAGAAAAAAAAAGGAAAACAATGAAACGCTGTCGTTTTATTAGATTTTCAGAATTTAGAAAAAAAGGAAAACACTGAAAACGCTTCCGTTTTATAAGATTTTCAGAGTGCTAGAAAAAAGGAAAACTTGGACCTCACGGTGCCTATATAAGCAAGTCAAGTGCTCTTCAACGAAACAAAATCTTCCAACAAACAAAACACAGAGAAAAACATAGAGAGAGATCGATTGAGAGAAAAAAAAAAACACAAAGAGAATGAGTCAAGAATCTATTATAGAAACTAGGGTTAGGGCTAGTTCTGTCGAGGTTTCTGATGATCTTGCAGAACCTAGGGCTAGTTCTGTCGAGGTTTTCGATGATCTTTCTGAACATAGACCTAGTTACATCACGACGAGACGGAAGAATCAAAAAGATGAGTCTCGTCCCAAGAAGTCAAAGAAGAGGAAGCAAGATTCGGTTCGTGATAATGATCTCGAACTCTCCGCAGAGATTGAAGAGATGTTTGATTCACTTACGAACAACAACACCACTCCAAACCCTAACCCTAAGGTTATTGATCGTGCTAAAATAAAGGAAGATAACGAAGAGATAGACAAACTCTTCAACTGGAGACAAAAGAAGCCCAAGTGGGAGAAAGACAGAGCCGAGATCGCGTTGCAAGTAGAACAAGTCATGGCGAATCTCGAACTCGCTGTAGAAGACGACGTTGATCTCAACAAACAAGGCAAACCCGCAACCAATAAGCTTATCAAGTTACCTTATCTCGTTGGAGCACTCTCCAAGAAACACCTCCAAGCCGAGTTCTTGGATCATGGAGTGCTTTGCGTTCTCAAGAACTGGCTCGAGCCTCTTCCTGACGGTAGCTTGCCGAACACGAACATCAGAACCTCCGTCTTGCAGATTCTTGAAGACTTATCTAACGTAATATGTAAAGGAGAGGGAAGCAGAAGAGAGCAGTTGATCAAGAGCGGTCTCGCTAAGGTTGTGATGTTCTTGTCCAAGTCTGATGAAGAGACTAGGTTTAACAAGAGACTCGCTAATGACTTGGTTAATAGATGGGGACATATGGTTTACGAGAGGAGCACGAGGTTTGAGAACATGTTGAGTCGAGAGGAGCGTGAGGAGCAAGAGGAGATGCTTTCAAGAAGAGAGAAAGAGAAGAAGAAGGCTAAGTCTCGTGGAGTGAAAGTTGAAGAGTGTGATTTAGATGTTGACTTCTCTGTTGTGAGGTCGAAGCCAAAGGTGTCAGGTGGTAGAGTAGTGACTGTGGTGCCAACAGCGATGGCGATGGACTTTGTGGTACGTCCTAGATCTAAAGTTGACGAGAGACTCGAAGCTCGTGCGAAGATGAATGTTGATAGTGGAAGGTATGAAGAATTGATGAGGAGAGTGAAGAGGAAGAAGGCGTTAAGGGAAGAATCTAAGCAAGCTTTGAAGCTTAGTGTAGACGGTCGCACTAAAGCCAAGTACTAGTTTGATAACATCTCTTGCATTAAGTATTGTGTCTAGTGGTTAAAGAGATTTATTAGTCACTATGTAAGTGTTCTTAGACAATGAATTTATAAAGATTTTTTTCTGCTTTTCTTTTCATCAGTTTAGTCATTGACTTTGCATTGTAAAACAAGACATATGTGCGCTTAACTAAATTACAAGAGCTTTCTTTGTAGACAAGAAAAAGATATGGTTGCAGTAACTAAAATTAAAAGAGATTCTTCCTTTGTAAGATAAAGAAGGTTTGAGGAGATTCAACCAATCTTCAAAGTTTTTTGACATCTTGATTAATTCAGCACAATCGCAAAACTCTGCACATAGGACTGAAAGACAACCAAAACAGTGTTGTTTTAGACATTCAAACGTCATATGATCTTATGTTATGCATTTGCAGATACGTATTTTACTATATTTAGCCAAAACAATGTTCGTTTGAAGTAATCATAGAAGTTTGACTATGTTTATGACTTCTGTGAATGATTATGAGGTTTTCTGTTTCTGAATAAAATAGATAAAACACACACCAACAAGATCAGTAAAACAGAGGAAAAAGCAACTAACGATGTTGACTTACAGATGATCTACTGGTTGTACCACAAAGTGGTGTGATAGGGACTAACTAAACTTCATTTCTGATGAACTTCAACTGGTCCTACAAAAATAGCCGTGAAGAATACTACTGTTGAGAAGGAACTTGGAAATGAGATGACTCTGTGGAATCCATACACATGTTAATAGGTTCCAATGACAAAATTTTCAAGAGGAGGAGAGAACTGCTAT